CCTTTTCACTGTTGCACTGTGGTGAGGGAACAGCTGTATGTGTTATTAAGTGTGAAAGTTCCGAAACTGAAGCTGTAGAACTAATAGAACGTGATGACACAGAAGAACTCATCCACAATATCCACATTGACCGCCACAAATATCCACCACCCCCTGCCATCAGCTCCCGCATCTCACACACACGAGCGTGACTGTAGCACTAGATTTAGCAACTTTCAGACCCTTTTAGCGGCTTTTTTCCATAGAATATTCATACTGACAAACCTAGCGACTTTTTTGGATAAACCTTAGCTATGGTTCAGTTGGAAGATTTCTCCAGTGCTGTCCAGCGAACGCGAGGTCTGACTTTCCCGGAGAAGTGTCGCCTCTCTCGGCGTCTGTTCTGTGTAGTGAGCGGCAGAGAAGCAGCGCATTCAGTTGACCGCTCCGCAGCTGACTCGTCAATAAATGAGTACAAAACAGCGTTTCCTAGCACCTGTCGCTTACTGATTGTTTGGAATTATAAATATGAGCGTAGTTCGTCTGTTAATAGCACATGCACTTTTTTGTTTGTTGTTTTTTTTAGTTTGTTACTCAGACGCAGGCAGTGCGCTGCATGAGACAGAAAAGTAATATAGCCAAAACAACCACATAGCCGCTCTTTAATGTAGATGCATGTTGATTTTATCAGACGATGCCGCGATTATAAATGAGAGTGACTCCTGGTTAACATGTATTAAAAGGGGTCATGTTTAGTCACTATTTAGTGTGGTATTTTTTGACAATATTCACTCATCGTGACAGTAAAATAGGGCATTCTAAGTCAATATACTGCAGTATTTCCTCTCTCAATCAGTAGAAAATATGGTTAACACCTGGTCATGCATAAAAAAAAAAAAATACCGTCATGTACCGTGAAACCCATATAATTTAGAAAAATACCGTGCTATAAATTTATGTTCATACCGCCCAGCACTATGTGAAAGCCTTCGTACCTTGGTGGTGGTGCTGGAGAAAGTGTGTCCTGGGAGCAACACAATGTCCCGCTTTATCTTTCTCCAATGGGGAGAGGCAGGGGCCACAGTGGGAGGAGCCAGGCTTGCAAAAGTGCCGCCCCTTTCTGGCACAGTCTATGTAATTGGGGCACTTGTTTACTGAGAAAACAGAAAAAACATGTTAATATTAATGTGCCTTCAAATCATTATGCAGTAGTGCACCAGGTGTTGATGAAAGGTGAAGAACATGTTGTTATGTTTCATAATTTCACAAGTCATAATTTCAGCATTTAGTCACCTGTGACGTTGTTGTTTCTGCAGGTAAAGAATATCATGTCCTGTTAAAAATTCATAATGCTGATTTTTTTCTTTCAAATTATGACACAGATCCAAAAAAAAAAAAAAACAATGAGGAAAAAGGGAACATTTATATTACTAAACATTAAATAAATTATCTTTATTTGCATAGTATGTATTGCACAAAAACAAGTCTCTTTAAAATCAATTTCATTTCTTGATATCTGTTGTTTACCATTTGAAAATAATACTGATTAAGAGTTCTACTTTGTTTTAAGAGACTTTATTACTTTTATTCAACACGAAAGCATTAAATTGATTAAAAGAGAAAGCAAAGACATTTTATATCACTAAAAATGACAATAAATGTTGTTTTTTATTTCTATTCATCAAAGAATCCTGAAAAAAAATCTAGCTTTTTTTTCTTTTCACAAAAATATAAAGCAGCACAACTGGTTTCAACACTGATAATAAGAAGAAATGTTTCTTTAACAGTGAATCTGCATATTAGAAAGATTTCTGAAGGATCATGGGATTAAAGACCTGAGGAATGGCTGCTGATAACCTTGTTTGCCATCAAAAGAAAAAAATATATATTAATATAGAAAATAGTTATCTTACTAAAAAAAAAAAGAAATGTAAGTGCATATCCATATATTTTATTTTCAACTGGTTCATGCAAAGCCAGTAAACCTGGAAACTTTCGCATCACACAAACAAGGACAGAAGGATATGACGTAAAAGCATCCCGCAGATGCTGTCGATTAAGAGCTTTACTTGAACCTGAAAATTCCTTAAAGCCTCAGAAACATTCAATAACGGTAACTGACGTACCCAATGACATCAATGCTATTGAATTCAGTCTGCCTCATATACTTGACTGACTCTCAATCGCTCTAGAGACTCTAAAATCTGTCATCGGTACAAACACGCTTGAATGATTCAAATCGGTCCACAGAAGCAATCATAATCTCAGCTCCTTTTCAATGATACTTTTTCATATGAGCTCCTATTTTCTATAAATCCCTTAATTTTCTGTGTAATTCACCCTGTGGGGGTGCAGAAAGAAACTGGGTCAGCAGCAGGTGTGTGTGTGCTGTGACGGTGCTTGGGGATTTATTTCATGGTGGATCAGAGTTATTTTAGTATTGTTGATATACTATTATATTTTATTTTTTTGTTTTTATTTTAATATTACTTTAAGTTTTAGTAATTTTGTTGTGTGCTTTTGATATTTTTATTTATTTATTAAATTAAACTAAAATAAGAAATGTTGTCGTGCCAACAAGCTGAATTAAAATACGTTTTAAATATAATTTATGTTTATTTTAATTTAATTTATTAATTTTATGATTTTAGCTTTAGTCTTCTGTGAGCCTTATCAATGGATGGTGTACATTTTCTGTTTTCTTTTTTCCTTTTTTTTGTGAATTTTAAGAAAATAGTATAAAATAAATTAATCCAATGCACATCTCTTTTGCTGTCATTAAAATGTATTTCTCCATTACACTGGAAATTAGCCACTTTACTTTTTAAATATTAGTAATGGCAGTGAGTCAACAAAAACACATTACTTCTACAGGAATTTGAAAACAAAACAAAACAAAACCATATACTTATGCATATTCCATTACTTAACAACCTGGGAGCTCATGCCATGGAAGGCATGTTATATGATAAAGCTAAAAAGTAGGGCTGCAACGATTAACCGCGAGCCGGTTGAAAATCAATTCAAATATATGAATATGTAGGAGTTTATATGAATGTATGTCTGAAGGGAACTTACTGTCTTTAGAAAAGTTTAGATGGTATTTTTTCTTTTTTATCTTGCCTCTGCATAATGCATATTAAAGTTCTTAAGTGCAGCGTTGCTTGGTGTACAGCCGAAACCAAGTAAATGCGTTAAGCGCCACCTGCTGGCAGAGAATGAGTGAATCGTTACATTCCTACTAAAAAGCACTTTGTGCCTGAAGAAAAATAAAATATTTTTACTTCAAGAACCCTTAGTGAGACACTCAAAGCAAAATGTCTAATAATTTTCAGCTGTTGAGTATAAGTGCTTCAGTGTTGTGTGATGACTGGATCTCTATCTGTCACTCTGACATCATCTGACGGACGTCAGTAGGAAATCACAGCCGAATATCAAGGAATGATACATTTTCCATCCGGAAGATTTCATTCTCTGAGCGGGAACATCAGCACAGACCTGCAGTACGGGAACAGGGATGCGCTTACGTGTCAATATTGACAGCTTCCATTTACTTTGTGAGGTAGGATGTGAATCATAAGTGGTAACAAATGTTTAAAAAAACTGTTAAGAAGCAATAAAAGTAAATAAAAAAATTTTCAGCTGGATAATAATTTTGCAGTTGTGATAGGAGATGCCATGAACAGGAAAGTGTGGATGGATAAAGGGAAACTCCCATTGTGTGGCCTTCCTGTTGCTCCATTTAAAGTCAAGCTAAGTGCCAGTTGTTTTGCCTGTTTAATTTGGCTCTCTTCCATGGCTACAGACGAACTCAAGTTATTAACCTAGACTTTATATTTTCTGAAGATGTAATGCATGCAAATGCAAAAGCTGTTGCCACAACACCACTATGCATTTGCTACGGTGTTCACAGCATTTTTTAGAACAGTGTTATGTAGTTACAAGGTTGCTTTCTGGTCCAAGTCAAACAAACTCATTGCCAAATTTAGCTGATATTCAAGGATCAAGATACAGCTTGGGGCTCTGGGTTTCTTCACCTGTCTTCATCACTTAAAACAGCAATAGCACACAATTTGATGTGTCATAAATATCCATAGCATTGTGCTTAAACAAACATGCATTCTCAATCCAACAATCTTGATCCGAAAATAGAGCTTTAAAGTTGATTCTGTGAGACATTCCTAGCTTTACAGGCAATGGGCTCACCTGTTTCCATTCATTTGGCTCTTTCTCACTCTCTGTACTTATTAACTTCATGGGAATGAGCTATAATCCCTGCTGCTATGGGAACTATGCTGTCTGGCTATCACCCGCTACATAGCAAGGTGCTAATGTGATTACATCTGGTTCCGGATCGCACAGAAGGGTAACCATGACTGGGTTACATTTCACACAAACATGCTTCAACTCTCAAATGCCATCTGTAAAATATGATAATTCTTAAATATAATGGTATACCTCAAAAAAAATTTTTTTTTAATCTAAAACTTGTACATTCACCAAGGCTGCATTTAATTAATCAAAATACACTAAATATTAATAAATATTATTACAATTTACAATAACTATTTTCTATTTTAATATGTTTTAAAATGCAATTTATTCCTGTGATGCAAAAGCTGAATTTTCAGCAGCCATTACTCCAGTACTCCATCATTCTAATATGCTGATTTGGTCTTATTTTTGTCAACAGTTTAATACGATCAAACTGTTTAATAAAAATCGTAAAAAAAAAATAAAAATTGTATGCAAAATGTGATGCATTTTTTCAAGATTCTTTGATTAATTGAAAGTTCAAAAGAACAGAATAATCAATTTTAAACATTATAAACGTCTTTACTGTCATATTGGAACAATTTAATGCATCCTTGCTGAATAAAATCACCAATTTCTTTAAAGAAACCTTACTGACCCAAAATGTTTGTGCAGTAGTGTATTTACACACACACACACACATTACATATACACTATATATCCTAATTAATCAAACATCAAAGCACATTTGACTGTATCAAACAGTTTAATAAAATTCTTTAAATTAATAATTTGAATGAATGTGTGTGAGAGTGAAGAAGTGTAGTAGAGAAGGCAGGCTTCCACTCATTTGCACAGAGTAACTGATAACAGCTGGATGTAGGATCATTTTAATACTTCAATTCTACAGCAATAAAATATTTGATTGTGGGATTTCTAGGTACAGCAAAAGGGACATGTGATTATAGATGATACTAACTAGGGATCACCTATAGTGAAAGCATTCTTCTACAACCATACTAATGCAAACAGGCCACTGAAAACCAGCCTGTTAAGATTTGAAAATTAATATGCAGCTTTTCACATCCTTAGTACTTAGTATCCGTACAAAATGATGAAACAAATACACATTTAAACAGTTATAAACACAACAGAAGTCAACAAAAAATCTCCTGTATTGAACACAATAGAGTTTTTGTTACATCAGACTGTGTTTGAAGTGTCTGAGGGTCTCTTCTAATTTGCCTGGCTTAGATCCTAATTATCATTAACAAAAACCCAATAATGACATACACTCTCATTAGTGAGAGAAGTGCAGTGGACCACAGGAAATGAGAACCCAGATTTACGCCCACATCTTTCAATAGCCACATTAAGACATTAAAGATCCCTGCGATGGAAACCTCTATTTTGGTTTAGAATGCTTCCGTACAGTACAGGAAGAACCTGTGTAAGTCCCTGCTGATGAAAATTTACTTTCTGCAACCAAATTGGCAACGTGTGAACTCAATGTGGGAAGACTTAAGGGTGGATGTTTGCTGTGCGTTACTGAGCACTCAAGGGTGTGTTTGGATTTTATAGTGCATATTTAAACATGTAAACCATGTTTGTTTGTGCCTTTACTTTATAAGAAGTACACATTTTGAGTCTCACCACCAGAATGGCAGATAACACAGCTATGCAGTTGCTTGGTTCTCACATGGTGGGGTTTGTATATAGTACGTGGACTCATTCAGGGATCTGCTGCAGAGATAAGCCGCCGCTCTCAATGTGCGCTCTGCAAATCATCATTGTGGCAACAACAAGCTGTTTCCAGATCTCTGTAGAGCCTTAGATCCTCACGTTCCCCTGAGACAGCAAGCGCAGGGTCCAATTCTGCGGTTACCACAGCAACGCAGCTAACCTTTTCTCAATCCACTCCATCACCTCTGAAGAGAGCAATGCAGCACTCAGACACCTCACATTACCCAAACACTTCTTATGTAAGTGCATTACGAAGTGAACAGTGGTCGGAACTGCAGCGTAATGGAAAGAGAATGTTCCCCATATGTGAAACAGCAGGGTTAAATTCTTACATCTCTTTTACCCTGTGCTTTATGAGGAACAGGGTTAAGGTGGCATTTTAAGGTTCGGATTTCAAGTTTTTTCAGATTGGTATGCTATGTGCACAAACTAAATAGCCTATTTTCCAGCCTACCACTTGATTATACCAAAGCAGCTTCAAAAGTCTGCAATTAACAGAACTTACAAATCAAAATAAAAGAAGGCTCAGGACACAGCCCTGTTGTACCTCAAACCTTACACATAAACGCAAAACATTTCCTTGTTCTGAGTGAGTTGTATGACTATAGGACAAGTTTGAATAAGCATAACAAAATACACTCCTTGGGTATAGAGATTAACCAGGAACATTTTCTTCAAGGAAAATGTCTTTGCAGCACAATGATTGGTTGAATACCCTGCCACTGTGATCGGCTGTTACTGTAAAAAAAAACTGAAATAAAATCAAATATAAATATTAAATAAAACATAAATAAATCAATTAGAAAACGTTGCCTCGACAAATGACCTAACTTAAATAAATTTTAAGCTGAAGTGCCAAAATTACTGCAACTAAAATTAAAATATAAACTGAAAGCATAAAAATAAAAGTTAATTCAAAATATTAATAAACACTATAATAGCATATAAATACTACTAAAATAACACTGAATGTGATAGTCCAAAAATCAACCTGATTTCGTCAAACTGGTGAGAAAAAGGCTAAATTAAAAATGAACATCAGTGACTGCAACATTCATGACAGTGAAAACCTTTACAGAAAAGAATGTGATTATTAATAATAAAAACAAATAATAATATTATTAAAATAATACTACTAGTACTACTACTAATAATAATAATAACAAATAATATAAAAAAACAAAACAAAACATAACAGCCGGTATGAATGCATAAAAAGATTATTATGAAAATTAACATCACTCTGTTACAGATATCATAGCATAGCATTTATGAAAGTATGATAATTTCCATAAATGCGCCTCAAACAAGCAGCAGACCAATTGGGGTTTGCTTTTTATAAACAGTCTACAGGTTGCTTTGTTCACCTGTGTGAAACAAGCTTGATTATCCACACATGGTCTGGTCACCATCTGTGAAATGACTGCATGGCTAGCGGCTCTAACCACAGTTCTGTCTTTCTGTGTGAAATATGACATGCTATGCTAGCCTGAGGGGGGGAGTTCAATGTGGCAGCTTTTTTGAAGTCACACGCTAGAGAACAACAAACAATCTACTTTACAATGGAAAACATGCATAAACATGTTTCCGCACTGGGACATGAGATAAGAGAGAGAAAGAGAAAGACTAATCAGCCTCTGGACTTGTTACAGAACACTGAAAACCCCTAGAGCAATATTGCAGGTAAGAAAGGATTATATTAGCACATATACAGTATATAAGAATATTTTAATCTTTCTTGTTTGATGACCCATACAGTTTTATCCAGCAACTGGATATACTAAAGGTGCTCATTGTGCAGATGTGTGTCAATGAGAAAGCGATTGTGATAGTGTCCTACCAGTGTCCAGCTGTCGTCATTCCCACAGGGGTCTGAAAAAGAAGCTTGGACAGATAATCTCTGCTCATGTTCTCCATAATTACTGCACTCACATCCCAAAATTCAGTTCACACTGCCCACTATGAAACTCTTAGACTATTACAATGAACATTTGAGCCATCAATCAGACACTGACTTGATGAGCATAGAAAATAAATTAAATATATGGATTTCCTTCAGTCATATTTCCAATAAAGTGTGTAACTCGCGTTACCCCCAACACTGACTGTAGCCTGGTCGGGTCGTCGCCGCTGCGGAGTAACACATACCTGCGTGAATCGCCATAGACATAAACTTAGAGAAGTAGCTCCGGTTGGAATGTTCTTCCGCGGGATGTGTGCAGTTCTGTTTATTAACCGCTAGAGCGCCAAAAGTTACATAGTGCGGCTTTTAAAGGAATAATTCACCCAAAAATGAACATTTACTCACCTTCAGGCCATACAAGATGTAGATGAATTTGTGTCTTCATCAAAAGAGATTTGGAGAAATGTAGCATTAGGCTACATCACTTGCTCACCAATGATCCTCTGCAGTGAATGGGTGCCGTCAGAATGAGAGTCCAAACGACTGATAAAAACATCACAATAATCTACAATTAAACCACACGACTCCAGTCAATCAATTAACATCGAAAAAAATCCATTATTAAGACATTTGATTATTATTCTGTTTATCAGCTGTTTGAACTCATTCTGACGGCACCCATTCACTACAGAGAATCCATTAGTGAGTTAGTTATGTAATGCTAAATTTCTCCAAATCTGTTCTGATGAAGAAACAAACTCATCTTCATCTTGGATGGCCTGAAAGTAAATTTTCATTTTTGGGTGAACTATTCCTTTAATGGCCTCTTACAGTCTTTTCAGTAAAATGTACAAATGTTCAATAAAATGTAAGCCTGTTCAATTGCAAAAATGTACAAAAGTATAAAATCCTTGTTTTGGAAGAAAGAAATTGTGCAATAAATAATGAACTGTCTTAAAATGACAAAGTATAAAACACATGGTAGCTTGCCCCAATCTGACATTCATGATAAATACTCTTGTGAGAAAACAGTTCAACCTTATTGTTGGCTCTAAAATGAATGTCAGTGTGGTGTTATTGTGTTCAGCTATAGCATAAATATGATATTGGAATTTTAGCTTGGAAATATAAAGACAGATTTGAATTAATTTCGAAATTAATAACTAGAAAAACACTTTTGTCTAATTGGGTTTTTCAGTTCTTAAACATTAGTTAGTGAAATATTACATAAAATATTGCATATAATGTAAAACATATACATTTATTTTTGTTAATTTACTGTATTTATTAATTTACTGTATTAGACTCATTATAAATAAATTAAGAGTAGGAAAATGAACAGATAAAATAACATGGGAATTCAGATGTCATGTTTATGAAATTTAAAATTCATACTTATAGTGGCATCTAGTGGCCAAAGTTACCACATGCAAACTGTTTGTTTTCTTCCTCATGCATTGCTTCTTGAGGACATTTTTTAAAAAGATAAATAAGCAAACAAACAAATACAAACATACATAAATGTACAGGCACAAATACATTTTTCCTGCATTATTTATTGAGCATTATTTTTTTGCTCCCAATCTAGTGTGTCCAGGGCTGTTGCCAAGGTCCTTGCCTGAGTATAGAGATAATAAATAAGTATTAAATGCTGTAAAGTTTATTAATTTTTATCACCATCATATTCAGAGATCCACAACCTTCAAGACTCAAATGTATCACTTATAGTGAGACTTGCAATTGTTTTGAGAAGTAGATACCTCAGTTCTGAGGGACCTTTTCAGATTGCTTGGGTTCATGGTACGTGGCCTGGATGGCGGGAATTTATACATAGGACGGGCCACTGCAAACCAAAGAGATTCAAAACAAAACAGACATGAAAACGTACTCTGATACCTCACCTCAGTGAGGTTAAACTGATGACATACTGTCCTGAGACATACACTTTACTGTATAAGGAGATCTGTGCCGCTTGCTTACCTGTAGATGGATCGAGTCCTGGGACGGAAAGCAAGGCAGGATGTGCATAGGAGGCAAGAGACTTTTCTACAGGGCCTTCTATGGTCAGTTTTGGTAGTCTCAACTGCAAAAGCATGATGCCAGAAACAAAATCAATGCTTCAATACAGGTATTAAACTGTGACATTCGCATTTTTACCACCAAAGTGGGACCTGTGAGTGTTTCAAGATACCTCTGTTTTGCATGAGCAAGATGTTAGATGTCTGGATGGTCGGAATTTGGCCAAAAAAGGAAGAGCCACTACAAACCATATGGATTGAAGACAAAAAGGAAATGAATAGTTAGCACCAGTGCGACTCTAAATTCTGAAGAGGCATACAAAATTTAAAAAAAAAAAAATCTATTAATATGCTATGATATCTAACAGAGTGATGTTAAAATTAAACGCTATAGTGCTGAGATATATGTAAGGAGATTTGGATCACACTCACCTCTGGGTTGATCCAGACTCAGGAAAGAAGGTCCAGTAGGGGGCGCAGTGGAGGCCTGTGGCCCTCTGTTGACAGATTTTGGTAGCTGCAAAAGCACAATGCTATTTTTAAAGGATTTGCTCAAAACATATTTCAGTATATAAACGATATAAATGTGATGGCCTATTTTAGTAAATACTTTTCAAGTTCAACTTTTAGACGAACAGCGTTAAAACCATCTTTAAACAATTAATTATCCCCTGACTAATATGTGAGAGACATTTTTCTGACCTTTTCCTTGTGACCACTTCTCTCCACATCAGGCCTTTTAAAAGCACAATGCTATTTTTAAAGGATTTGCTCAAAACATATTTCAGTATATAAACGATATAAATGTGATGGCCTATTTTAGTAAATACTTTTCAAGTTCAACTTTTAGACGAACAGCGTTAAAACCATCTTTAAACAATTAATTATCCCCTGACTAATATGTGCGAGACATTTTTCTGACCTTTTCCTTGTGACCACTTCTCTCCACATCAGGCCTTTTGTAAGCTAAAACAATAATAATAAAAAAACACGTTTAAATTGTAACATGGCCCTTAAAAAACATGGCCCTTAAAAGAACTTACCGGGAGTTCTGATACTAACTCCTTGGCAAATCATTCCTCTGAAAGTAAAATTTGAAAAATATTTTATAGAGTCGAGAGATGTAGTTGATGGACTCGTTTGCAAATAGCTATGCTTTCGATCAAAGTTATCAACATACCGTATATGATAAATAGATAGATATTGATATCTTTATCATCAACTCAATTTTAAGAAGACACTTACCTGAACTTACGACTTTCTCTTAAAGCAAAATGTATTGATGCTGTTGGTGTATTTGAGTAAAAGTAAGACTTAAAAAGACAAAATCTTCCAAATGAGAATCTTCAGAAAGAGACTCTGTGTAAATCAGTTATGTATGACGCCACAATAACTGAATACGTCACCTCAGTGAAAAAAAATCTATTCGAAATCACTAATGAAAAGAAAACAATTGATTTATTAATTCCTGTTCGTGGTATTTTGTAACAATTCATATATGTAATTTTTGAATATATATATATATAGCCTATATATATATATATATATAAATAATATATATATCATCATCTGACTCTGCGCGCAATCTTTAAAAGTTGTATTCGCTTTTGAGAGTAAGAACACAAGTCCCCGCCCAGCACTGGCAAATGGCCAATAATATTTAAAGGCGTGTGCCATCGCGGTGCTTATTGGCTGAGAGAGCTGTCACTCCAGCCTTTAGTGGGCTGGCTAATTGAATCGCTGAGTGCGATACACTTCTATCCATCTCACTCGCGAGGAAGGTAGTTGCACATTACCGACTATCAGCAGTCGCTACCGGAGCCGCATGAGAAATATATATATAGGCTATATATATATATAATAATTATATATATAGCCTATATAAATATATAATTTAAAACTTATATCGCAGCAAAAAGGAGACAATCTAGGGTCATAAACTTGATTTTAATGGCAAGTATCAACATTTCATCAGTCAATACAAAACGACTAATAAAAAGACGCTATAAAAATCTTGTCACTTTGGCCCTCAAGAAATGCTTCAGCTGACCCTTATGACAAGCATCTTCATCTCAAGTTAATGTATAGAAAATATCTTAAATAAATATAATTCCATCTAATCTAAATTATGCCCACACATTTAAGTGAATCAGACATAAGACCTTTGTGAAATACGAGGTACACAGATTGACATCCTTTTGAGAACAGCCATCAGTGACAAAATACAAGGTGTACATTATAATTAAGACTTGAAATGGAAAGGTCTGGGGCTGATATAACCGTTCTCTGCATGCTATAAAGCGACAGATTGTATTAAACTCTTGAGCTACATTATGGCTGTGACACTCAATGCAAAAGCTAGTCTAATAACATTGATGCATTTGAAATTCTCAGATGATATGTAGAAAGCGATGAATCTAGTGTAAGCAGCACCTCTAGTGTGATGGTGAAGCTGTGCAAGTTACAAAAGAGGCAGTCAAAAATCGAAATATATACGACTCATTTTCAACATCACCCTGACTGCAGAAATGGTTTTGTCATTGCACAAAAACATTTATCACTATTTAGTCTGCGTGTGTCCTGGTCCTTCATGAATGCATGAAAGCGAGATGAATGCATTGGCTGCAAATATGCACACACATACACAAATATTTAGTATTGGCACATGATGAAATGCACAGAGTCTGTGACATAATGATAAAGGCCACCGTACATGCCTTCCACACACACATGCAAACATGTTCAAGTCAGATCATTGATTTCCCTGATGTTTCTGTATCTAAAACATGTTAAACTATATTTTACTGGTCCATTCTCCCTCATTTAAACACTGTTTTTTGGGTTTGGTCATAGGAGCCCTGTGTTAAGGATGTCCTGAAGACTTCAAGTCACTTACACTTTAAGAATGCATTATATAATAATAATTATAAAGCAAAAACGCACAGGACTGAGAACCAGTGATCCACAGTGAAAGAAAAACATTCAAATAAAGTCGGATCCACATAAAGTGGCGTGAGAGAATCTTGTACACCTCCTTAATACCCAAAACCGATGCTTTTCAATTGTAGACAATTGAGAAGAATCTATTGCAACTACCACGATATCAGAGAGACAGGAGCTTCACGCGTCGTACCATCTCACTCTGTGCAGATCAATATAGTTCCAACTATGCTTAACATGGGAGGACTTGTGATCCCCCTGTGAGGAGCTCAGATGGTACGGTCTAGGCTTAGCCGAAACATTTTCCATAGCACAGCCTGCATTTTCTGATCTGAGATCGGTGACAGGGAGCAACATCCCTGCATTCTGTGAAGGGGACCGTGGTCACGGCTGGTCCCACTGTCAGGGGCTGCTTTCAGGGTCTTTCTGCGGAGAGCTGCAGGTCTCCTGGTTTTCCCTCATCAACGATGCAGCCTCATTGTTTGTCTCGCTTTGCTCCAGCACCAGCTGGATTGTAGTGCTTTCAGTCTCACCCTCGGCAAAATCTCCTTCCTTAGCTAAACGGAACTTAATATTTAACTTCTCAGATTTTTCTAAAAGGAAAAAAAGAAAGAAAGAAACTCAAAATTGGATTCCATCTCAAAATGTGGCTTGTATCTTTAATCTATAAATTGTACATCTATCTATATACTTGAATTTGGAAATAAAAAATATAGTAAAATGCTATCCAAGTTTCTAAAAGCAATATATAAAATAAAATGCCAGCAAAACAAACAAACAAAAAAAATAGCAAATGTGTCACTCACAAAAGGTCATATGCTGACCAATTTGACTATTTGCTGAAGTCAACAAACTAAGAGTACAGAAGTAATCTATATTCAGTAGTTTTGGTCTAGTCAAATACCTTTTCCTAGTTGTTTCTCTTTGGGTAGCAGGAGGACGTCCACATTGTGATGTTCTTGCAGAGCGGCAGTGAGTGTAGCTCCCTCTTTGCTGAAGAGGAACACCAGGGGAACTGTGATGTCATCGGTAGGCTCTCCATCTCCAACCATCTGGAAGAGTGGAGTATCAGCACTGCTGCTGCCCTCTCTGTGATCTGTGGGAACATTCAAAACCGAAGGGTCCAGATTCTAAGACAATGCAGAGAAATCAGGTGCATAGTCTGCAAGTAATGTTACAGTAGATCTCACCAATGAAGATGACTCCAGTGGCTCCTGCTTCCTGCAGGCGCCGAGCTTTGGCAGCAAACATGCAGTCTCCTCTCAATGCCAGTGCTACGTGTCCCTGCAGCTCTACTGCGTTTTCAATCGGGCCACATGCCGTATAGGGAACACTTTTCACAATGCTGCCTTTCATCTTACAGAGAGACACAGAAAATACAATAATTAATTGTGGTAAATGTGTGACATACCAGCAGTGAAGTAAAGAAGGTTCCTCACCCCATGCTCTTGTTTGGTAAGATCCATTCCAAACTTTGCTGAACCAGCCGTAAGGACTGTTCGACCCAAAAACGGAGGGGAAATGAGCTGCACAATTAGTGGCACCACTTCCTCATGCTCAGGTGTTTGGCTCACCTCAGCAACCAGCTTTAACTTATACACACCCTTCTGAGAGTGCTATGGAAAAGAGAGAGAGAGAGAGAGAGAGATGAATGAACTGACATATGAAAGAAGAGATAAATCACTGATATCCAACAGTTGGTCCCAGTGTTAATTTGAACTAAAACTATTATTATTTTTATTATTTCATTTTTTTCATTAATCATTCTCGCCAATTCACCTGAAATGCTGAGCCTTGGCTGGCAGAGACCAGCTCAGTAAGGGGCGTCAGAGAGATGCCCATGCTTTTCAGAAACTCGATTGGCTCCAGGCCCATGTCATGAAGAGGCAGTTCAATCCCCCTGTGTTATTAAAAAAACAAAAACAAAACAAAAAGAGCAGTTGGGCCTTTTTTTCTTATAGATGCTGCTCTATGATAAACCTGTAACATATGACCCACCTGAGAGGTGAGGCCTGCTGGGCTCTTCCCACACCGGTGAGGTATTTATAGCTGTCCCTGATTGTCTTGGCAAAGGTGGGGTTGTTAGGGAACAGGGTTTGAGCACTGGGGCATGAATATGAAAATAAATCATCTTCATGAGCTTGAGGTTCCTGAAAGATATACAATGATGTTGAAATCCATTAACTATGTCTCCAGCCACATATTTGTAAGCTAATTTTGGGATATCGCATAAAAAAAAAGGAAGTGACAATTCTGTTCTCTTGAACACATGATTTTTTTTTTAAACGGTTTTATTTGCAAATGTTTAATGCAATATTCCATTTTTGGATGGAAACACTGGTATTGTAGACAATTACAGACAAAAAAATAAAGCCAAAAGTTGCAGAGATTATCACATTGTGGGGATTTAAAGCTTTAAAACCAAAGTCTGAGAAACATTCAGTCAAACTTCTTATGGATCAAAAAGGTCCCATACTAGATGGAACATCATTTTGGAGTCCCGTTTGAGAATAAGGTGATCTCTTACTGTGTTGTTGGTATGGCAGGGGGGTTGGGTTGTAGACAGAGATACTGGGAGCAAATGAGCCTCAGTAGTGAAAATATAATCATCTATGTTTATAGGCAACTGGCTCTTCTCTGAGAAAAGCAGGTAGAGGTACTTAAACATCTCAGCCAGGAAGAAGGAATCCATCCTTGAAATAAACAAACATAAAAATTATTTTACTACTACAGCCTTTCAAATTTAATCTAGATATACAATACAAAAATTACTAATAGGACTCTCACCTGTCCTCATGCGTTCCTGTCCTCACATCCTGTACGGCAGCGAAGCCACAAGGGACCCGAGCGTGAGTGTTCAGCTTCTCCACTATAGACTGGCCTACTTTCAAATAGTAAGGATCACCTGTGGCCTAGAAATGAGGCGGAAAATGTTACTTCAAAACAATAAAGACAGACAAAATAACTAGTGCAAGACAGTGCAAGTCAACTGTGACCCTGAGCTCTGTTCACACTGACAGCGAATACATTTCTGTGCTGTTGGTTATTAGTAGGCGTTCATATTCAGCTGTATCAGGTGGTATACCTACTTTGTAAAGGTATAGATGCTGCTCTATGATAAACCTGTAACATATGACCCACCTGAGAGGTGAGGCCTGCTGGGCTCTTCCCACACCGGTGAGGTATTTATAGCTGTCCCTGATTGTCTTGGCAAAGGTGGGGTTGTTAGGGAACAGGGTTTGAGCACTGGGGCATGAATATGAAAATAAATCATCTTCATGAGCTTGAGGTTCCTGAAAGATATACAATGATGTTGAAATCCATTAACTATGTCTCCAGCCACATATTTGTAAGCTAATTTTGGGATATCGCATAAAAAAAAAGGAAGTGACAATTCTGTTCTCTTGAACACACAGAATTAAAACGGTTTTATTTGCAAATGTTTAATGCAATATTCCATTTTTGGATGGAAACACTGGTATTGTAGACAATTACAGACAAAAAAATAAAGCCAAAAGTTGCAGAGATTATCACATTGTGGGGATTTAAAGCTTTAAAACCAAAGTCTGAGAAACATTCAGTCAAACTTCTTATGGATCAAAAAGGTCCCATACTAGATGGAACATCATTTTGGAGTCCCGTTTGAGAATAAGGTGATCTCTTACTGTGTTGTTGGTATGGCAGGGGGGTTGGGTTGTAGACAGAGATACTGGGAGCAAATGAGCCTCAGTAGTGAAAATATAATCATCTATGTTTATAGGCAACTGGCTCTTCTCTGAGAAAAGCAGGTAGAGGTACTTAAACATCTCAGCCAGGAAGAAGGAATCCATCCTTGAAATAAACAAACATAAAAATTATTTTACTACTACAGCCTTTCAAATTTAATCTAGATATACAATACAAAAATTACTAATAGGACTCTCACCTGTCCTCATGCGTTCCTGTCCTCACATCCTGTACGGCAGCGAAGCCACAAGGGACCCGAGCGTGAGTGTTCAGCTTCTCCACTATAGACTGGCCTACTTTCAAATAGTAAGGATCACCTGTGGCCTAGAAATGAGGCGGAAAATGTTACTTCAAAACAATAAAGACAGACAAAATAACTAGTGCAAGACAGTGCAAGTCAACTGTGACCCTGAGCTCTGTTCACACTGACAGCGAATACATTTCTGTGCTGTTGGTTATTAGTAGGCGTTCATATTCAGCTGTATCAGGTGGTATACCTACTTTGTAAAGGAAATATGTGCTTTCAGCAAACTCCGGTCTCAATGGGTGCTGGCCCCAGTGAACTCTGAACTCGGTGGTGAAGGCCTGTTAGCCAACATAAATTGTAGGCAAAGACATTTGGAGGATTAGTACTGAAAAAATTTAATATTCAGCTGTGATCTTTGGAGATTGAGGATGTTTAGGTGTGTTTAATGTGATTTATGCAAATGTAGCCCATTATTTACCTCAGGGAGGAAATTGTGCTGTTTAGTCACTTGGTACAGCATCTCATGCGTCTCTATGGCAGGTTTCAAGTCTCCTCTCAAAACCTGAAAGATATTTTGGTATAGTTATTAATTTATTATTTTGAACTTGAAAAATTTCACTTTAAAAACAGCTACAAGTGCTTCTTTCTTTTAAGCAAGTTGATTCTAAACTAGAATCTAAATTTAACATGCCATCCAGTAGAGTCATACTGAGAACATAAATATTTATTAATGATCACGAAAATGCATTTCATTAAAAATATTTTTACATTTAACTACGGAATTATTTTGCACTGAATATTAGACTACCGTGTCATTTTCAGAATTATATGCCATTCAATCTCTTGGTAAATTGGCACATCTTACTAATGTTATATGAACAGTTTTATTTTAGTATTATTTATATACTGTTGTAGTGTTTATTAATGTTTTGAATTAGCTTTTATTTTAATATATTCAGTTTTCATTTTAATTTTAGTTTGTGTTTTAGTAATTTTGTTATGTGTTACTTTAATTTCAGTTTTAGTATTTTAGTAAATTTCAGTACTTCCACTTAAATTTAGAAAACTAAAAAGGTGGCTACCGTTCTTGCATTCAGTTTCAACAATGCTGTAATAGTAAAAAAAGTAGTAGTCAACTGGCCAATAAAGTCCTAGCTGACCCATCCTGTTAATGCAAAAATATCTGTATTCTGAGTCAACTTGGAATATAGAGGATGAAGAAGTGAACCTGTAGCCCAGGGAAGAAGGCAAGCAAGGAATCCATCCAGCTTCGCACATTTATAGTGGGGTTGTGCATGTGCACGTTGAGCAGCAGAGGAGGCTGGCTGATGTACTTCATAATGGCACTATAGTGCTGTCACAACAGACAAAGTCACATGTGCAGATAATAGATGTAAAACAATCTCTGTTTGACTAATAGAGGCTTGATTATTCCAGGAGAACAAAGAGCCCTTACTGTGTTGAATCTGTTAAGGTACACCTTATCCCCAAGAAGAATATAAGCTTTCATCAAGTATTCATAATAAGAGTCGATTCCAGCGCCAACCCCACTATCTGTCATGAGAGAAGGTACTGATATGAATACTGTCTCTGTAAGAGTCAAAGTGGGATTAGATGAGGTAAAGTGTGGGACTTTTTTTTACTGTGCAAATGAAATGACAGCAACTAGAAATGTCAGAGCGAGGCCACACCTCTGCGAACCCAGTCTCCGTTGTGGATGTTGATCACAGTGCCGACAAGGTCACTTCCTCTTTGCCTTTTCTCCCAGAGGACATCCATAGCTTTCCTAGCATGTTCCTAGGTTGAACAACCTCTTAGCACACACGTCTCACTGTCTGAGTCTTGATCTGTTATTAGTAAGAAAACATGCTGGATGTTTACCTCAAATATTGGGTCCCCGGACAGTCGGCTGAGAGCTGCAAACTCCAGAATCATGGTGCCTGCACAAGCAGTGCAAGTGTCCGACTCCGTTCCTGTCCGAGAAAGGGGGTTGACGACCCCATAGCGCAAATTTACCTGAAGAGGAAAATGAAAATGCTTTAAATATGAATAAAAACATTTAAAAGAAATGTTTGGTCAAGATTTAAAACAATGTGGAATCATTCTCATGTAGCTCTTGCATATCAACAAATTTTTTTTGATAAAATAAAAAAAGGCAAAAAGTGACTAGTGTTATAGGATCCATGTTACAATTCACCCCAAAATTAAAAGGAAATTATTTTACATAGTGATTAAACGTATATTCCCCTAAAAATCATTCTATTGTAATTATTCAATTGTCATTTCAATTAGCATAAAAATATTATACTGCTATTAGTGTCAGATATTTTGATTGTGATATTCGAGAGATGCATTTCACCTCCAGATTCAAGGATATTTTGCCAATTTTCAACCAGCTTTTTATTGTTACAATGTCAGTAGTATATGTAACTAAACAGTGTGTACTCTTGCCAGCACACAGATATTTATTTGTCAGCAAAATTCTGCCAGCTCACTTTTGGCAGCTCCAGAGCTTTTGTTAAAACTACAAATCATACTTCTGCATTTTTGTATTCCCACTAATAGACAGTTAGATTGATAGACAATCAGTGCCAAAATGAAAAGTGCATAATGTGTATTGAACTATTTGACAAAATGGAACAATAAGCCCTTTTTTTCTAGTCATGTAGCACTGATTTCAAATTATTCAAGTTTTATTAAAAGCCCATCTTGCCAGCAGTGAATTACACCTTTATGTCATTCTTCTGCCAATAGAAGGACAGATAAAATTATTCAGGTATAAGTCAATAGTGGTGGAGTTACCCGAGGATAAGGAAGGCCACTGGTGGTGTTAAAGGCAGGCAGGAGGCGGCAGCCCAGTTCTTTGGCCATGTGAAGCAGTTCATCTCTGTACCACTGCATTCTCTCTCTACGCTGCTTTAGAACATCTGCCATGACATGGGCGCCCAACAAGCCACTGGAAGAAAAGGGAAAAGTTTCATCAATAATGCATTTCATGGAGGAAGTCTATAAGAACAGTGATCGTAGAGAATAAGGCCCGTAAATCTAATTATGTCAAAAGCCTGCTTTAAAATCTACTGTATTCCTGCTCAGTTTTTTGACCCAGTGTTTTTAAAAAAACATAAACACATCCAAAGCTAAAGAAACATCATGATTCGTACCCCAGCACACGGATATTGGTCTCAAAGACAGAGACGACTATGTCATTATCAAATCTGACGTCTTGCACGGTCTTCTTCACAGCCTCCTCAAATTCATCCAGTTTATTTAACAACTGCTCAAAACACACGAAACAACAGTTTAGAAGCATCTATTATTATGTCCTTAGTATTGATTTGAATAAGCTTGCTTAACATGTCTGGCTGATTAAAAAACCTCATTAGTGTTTTTGATCAAGTTAATATTATTTCCATCAAAGAAGAAAAGATTTAACTCACCACAAGAGTATCTAAAGTGTCTATTAATGTTAAAGAGAACCTGTAAAGAGAGAAAGAGAGGATGCCATTAATACCCCCAAAGAATCAACACAGAAATCTTTACTAAAAAACTGATCGAATACATTTTAGATGTCCCATCAATGTTTATATCAATCTTTGAAACTAAATATAGCAAACTGACTGGTCATATTTCCAGAATCTAAAGTAACATGTCATTACAAGGGTCATGTGCAGCAAAAGTTTGAATAAAAATGGTATCACTTTATACTAGTGCTGTCAAACGATTAATCGCATCCAAAATAAACGTTTTTGTCTACATAATATATGCGTGTATACTGTGTATATTTATTATGTATATATAAATACACACACACACACACACAGAGTATATATTTTGAAAATATTTACATGTCTATATTTATATTCATATATAAATATATTTAATATATGAACATAACATTTTTCTGAAATGTATACATGCATGTGTGTGCATTTATATATACATAAATATACACAGTACACACACACATATTGTGTAAACAAAAACTTTTATTTTGGATGCGATTAATCGCTTGAAAGCACTACATAATCATAAAATATACATTATACATAATCATTATGAGCTTGACTCACTTTCCCAGAGAGTCATCAATGTCCCCTCGATTGGGTTCCAGCCCTCTCACCCTTCCTCTACAGCTGAGGGGCATCAACTCATCTGCTGGGTATGCATAGTCCTAAAAGAGAACAGAAGGAGAAACAATGCATCTCAAATAGTCGCAATAACAGATGCATTCATTTTCACAATTTCACACTTTAGAATTATTTTGGTACAACAATCACTTTGAATGCCAGTCATTTAGGTCCAATAAATACAAATGATTCAGAAAAACAATGTTCTTGTTAGTGAACACTAATTCAAAATTATTCCTGAATTATAAACAGTACATTTTGGGTATTTACTCACCATGAAGCACTACTTTATACATAATCATTATGAGCTTGACTCACTTTCCCAGAGAGTCATCAATGTCCCCTCGATTGGGTTCCAGCCCTCTCACCCTTCCTCTACAGCTGAGGGGCATCAACTCATCTGCTGGGTATGCATAGTCCTAAAAGAGAACAGAAGGAGAAACAATGCATCTCAAATAGTCGCAATAACAGATGCATTCATTTTCACAATTTCACACTTTAGAATTATTTTGGTACAACAATCACTTTGAATGCCAGTCATTTAGGTCCAATAAATACAAATGATTCAGAAAAACAATGTTCTTGTTAGTGAACACTAATTCAAAATTATTCCTGAATTATAAACAGTACATTTTGGGTATTTACTCACCATGTAACTGTTATAGGCATGATCAAACATCTCTAGAATTTGGTCCCTAAAAAATATAAAATAAATAAAAGTGTGCAGCAGTTACTCTTTCATATCGCACTAGAAAAAAGCCATGGAAATGTCCATGTAAACTCAATACAACTGCGATAGTAACTGTTGCAGAAGTCACCAACTTCAACAAGTCACCAATTAGGCTACCTTTTATTGTATACCTTCCACATCAGAACAAAAATACATAATCTCACTGCTGTAGGCAGTCTGTGTATACATGGATGTATGTGCATATACAGTTTAATTTTCATTTTGGGGTCAGGAAGTTTTTTGTTTTTTTTAAATACACAATTTGACATTTATATTTTTACAAAAGACTTCCATTTTTTTTAATGCTGCTCTTTCAACTTTGTATTCATAAAAGAATTCTGAAAAAAATGTATCACAGTTTCCACAAAAATATTAAGCAGCGCAACTCTTTTCAACATTGATAATAATAATAATGTTTCTTAAGCACCAAATCAGTATATTAGAACTTTTTCTGAAGGCACTGCAGAGTAAAGTAGTAATGGCTGCTTTGCCATTACAGAAATGAATATAATTTATAAAATTATTGAAATAGAAAACACCCACTTTAAACTGTAATAATATATTTCACAATATCACTGTTTTACTGTATTTTGTGAGCAAATAAATGCAGCCTTAAAGAGACTTTCAAAAAAAAAAAAAAAATTGGTGTACTAACAATGTCAGACAAAACCAAAATGACATGGAAGTACATGATCATGTTTAATTCAAAATAACGTATGGCCTTGTTTAGGTAATGGCCTTTTTAATTTCATAGTTTGTAAGTAAATACATGTAAGTAAATGCATCTGTAATCCAAGACCGTGTTAGTGGTTTAAAAAAAAGGATACAATTGGTGCCGTTTCTTACTACATGGACGTGCATATTTCATTTTAATACACCAAGGGCGTGTTATGTTCATAGTTACTTAAAAAGATAATTCCTTCTAAACATGGAAATTACGTTTAACCTCCATATTGGGAACTGACAGCCTTATTCAGCATTCACTTATAATTGCATAATTATTCCTTTAATAAAAGTGAAGATGACTAAGGCTATCATTCTATCACATCTCCTTTTGTGTTGCATGGACAAAAGTAGCAGGTTTTGCAAAAGTGTCAAAACGATTCTTTTGAACAATTTGTACACTGAAGTTGACCAGGCCACAGCATTTCACAGAGCAAAGAAAAGATGTATTCACCTGAGAGCTTACACAGCTGCTCCGAGATAACACTGGTAAGTTCTTGATAAGGGCACACATGTATTAAAAGTCACTTGCCTCCATTTGGCTAATGAAAACTATCTCCAGAACAGAAGATATGCGGTGCAGGACACTGGAGTTCTCCAGTGCTTGGAATGGATTGGATGGAATTCCTAAATTTTGCTTCTGAAGACAGGACCGCAGATTTACTCATGATTATAGCAAGTCATGGAATGTTGTTGATCTGGAGCGTAACAGGGACCTCCTTGTCTTCTTTTCTTCAAACTGTACTTTCTGAAGCACACTTGTTAGTACAAGTTTAATGTGTCAGTCCTCAAGGTGCTGTTTCCTGTAATGTGACTGTCACGAGTAAATGTTAAGGCTTTCTCTACCACCCTTTTATGACGTTTTTTAACATTAACACCTGCAGAAGTACTGAGAAAAGCCAAGGCCACAAACTCTGCTCAGATCTATCTTTGTTTCTTCTGACAGTTGCTAAGGTAATTTAAGCAAGTCAAGCAAAAAGTAAAGCTTGATGATGGCATTGAATCATTGCAATGTGGATAAATAGTAGTTAATCAGACATCCAGGATTGAACTTCATAGACTGGCAGGATTGTATTACCTGTTTTGACAAGGTAATTGAAGCATCATTGACTTCTGTTTATAGACTCTTCCCATGGAATGGGTTGACAGTCAACCCTCAATGGAAACATGCCACTAATTATTATAAGCCTGCTTATTATGTTCTTGTGTTCTGTCTTTTGCAGATGCACTTTGAAGGATCCAGCAATGTCACGCTGTTGTTTGACTTCTGGGATGTGCGTGGGCCTGCAGGTACATGGGATTTACAAACAAGACCGAACATGATCATATAATATGCATACATGACAGTTTATACCAAACCATCTTGCTTTCTTTTATCCGTTAGATGCAAAAGTTGTTTAACTTGCTTTCTTGTGCACATTACTTCACATTAAAGTGATAGCTCTTGCACAAATTACAATCATCTCATCAATTACTGCGGTGTTATTTTTATATATGTTTTATTATAATTTCAATTTGAATTATTCTATTATAAATACGTACACATGCCTTCAATTGAAGTTACAGGTGCATTAAAAAAAATTAGAATATCGTGAAACTTTCATATATTCTAGATTTGTTACATGTAAAGTAAAACATTTCAAAAGGTTTTGTTTTGTTTTAATTTTGATGATTAGAGCTTATAGCTCATGAAAGTCAAAAACACAGTATCTCAAAATATTAGAATATTTTCATTTGAGTTTCATTACATGACCATCCCTACAGTATAATTTCCGGGTATCTCTTGTTAAAAATATGTAAGTTTAAATATACCAAATTCTCTTCAACAACCAGACTAAATATTTAGCAAGTCACAGTTTGTTGTAAGCTAATATGCTAACTGACATAGCATTCATTTGTAGTTAATATTGCTAAAAACTAAAATGAACACACATCAATGTGATTGAGGATGCAATTTTATTTTTATTTTTTTTCGAAGTTGAATAAATGTTTCATTGTCATATTTTGTCATGCTTTGTGTGTTCTGCTTTGTGTCCACCCCGTCATGTGCTGGTCCACCCTGTCATCTTGATATTTTACAATATTTTAAATAATAATTCAATCATATCTATATAATCCAATGTGTTCAATAGCTAGGTGTGGGGGCAATAACATGCAAACAAAAAACTGCATCCAAATATCACAGTTTTCTCCAAATACGAAAAAATACATGTGTGAATTGCATGAGATTCTCGTTTAGGAAAGGGACATCATACCTTTCATAAAATATATATTTTGCATCTTAATTTTGCAATGAAAATGCATTTAACAGTAATATATATGTCCATGACAGGGTGGACATATCTTATGGTTTATGCTTCGAATAATGATGCATAATTATCTAAAAAAAAAAAAGTGTGGGAGCTCAGCTAATATGTTTCTATAGTACTTGAGTGTCTACTATTTATGACATGACAAAGCAAATGGGAAATTAAAACCAACATTTTTGAGTATTGTGAGGGTTGAAAGGCACTCTATGGTGATATTGACCCAGATAATGATATTATGTTTATTGGGGTTAAGATTTTTTAAATGTTTCTGTAGTCTCTTATGCTCACTATTTGTTTGATAAAAAAAATGAAAATAGAAATATTGTGAAATAAATATTATTACAATTTAAAACAGTTTTTGTTCAGAATTTTTTGAATATAAAATGTATGAAAGAACAGTATTTATTTGAAACAGAAATATTTTGTAACATTATAAATAACTGATTTATTTAAAAATGTATCACCTAAATGTATTTTAGAATTTTTGTCCAGTATACATCTGAAACGTCTTTTATAACCTTTTGTTAATTGTATAACTTGTATAATTTATTCAGAGATCGCCATGAAAATAGCCTTGATGCTGGCATGGCGTTAAAAAGTGAATAAATAACATTATAAATGTTACTTTTCTGTCAAACTATAACATTCTGTAATGCATCTTTGCTGAAAAAAAATATTAATTAAATTAAAAAAATTAAAATGATCCAACTATTTAATGCTATAACAATCAGATTAAATAAATAATTGGCTGAACATTATTTACTCGCCATTATTTACTACATTTTTAACAACTGATTTTAGCTATATAAACCTGAAGGGCTTACATTGAAATATTTTCACATTTTGATCTTCAGACCCTAGAGTTAAAAAAACATTTTATACTTTTAATTTTAAAAGTTAGATTAGCAATTTGAAGTGTGAAAAGCCTACATCTTGATTTCTCTCTCTACAGGGATGGTGTTGTCGGTCTTTGTCGTTCTACTGCTCACCGTGATCTACGAGCTTCTGAAAGTGTGGAAGGTCACTATTGAAAAACAGAAGCGATCCTCCATTACGCATTCATCCGCTCCGGTGTCTTTCTCACCTGAAGCGTCCTGTTTCGCCCCTGTCATGAAGTGTCAAGAGGGAAGCTCTTCTCTGACCAACAGCCCCTCTGAGATCTCATTAGCTCCCACTGAGAATACGGCCACCACTGCAGACACCACCGCCGCTGCTAAGAAGAGGTAATGCTCACGAGATAACTGGGAAGTGTTTTCCAAGAACTGGTATGACGTCAAAATCGGTCAGTTGGAAAGATAACCAATGAGTTGATGATTATTTATACCTCATAGCTTAATGAATCTCTGCTCTCCAACAAGTGTCTCTTTCCGTCTTCAGCTGGCTTCTGCACTGCCTCCAGACCTCCATACACATCCTGCAGGTGACGCTGGGCTACATGCTCATGCTCTGCGTCATGTCCTACAACGTGTGGATCTTCCTGGGGGTCATCATGGGATCTGTCTTGGGATACTTTCTGGCTTTTCCTCTACTGAATCACATTTGAGAAGACATGAGAGAACAAAAACATGTGGCGGGATCTCGAAATGTTCATCTGAGTTGACTGCAGACTCTAGATCAAGAGCAAAATGCAAGGTTTGTGTGGCCACGATCAATAAGACGTGCAAGAGATGTTGCGATATGTAGACTGAACAGGGATGATTCCATTTAGAAAATTTAAGGTTGTACTTTAAAGATCTTGCATGAAATCTTAATTAACTAAAATGTGGCAATGACCAATTGTAAAATTGGTTAAAAACCAACTTTCAAAAGTGTTTAAATTTTAAACCGCATTGGAAACACAATATCTTTCAAGTGTTAAACCATGTGATTTTACCTTTGTGGTTGTATGATGTGACCTCTTGTTCAAACAGTCAGCACTGTACTAAATTGAGATGTGCCTCATTGACCGGTTTTATACTTTCTACAACTACTGATGTAATTAATAAGCTAATTTTCTGTTACACAGATGAATGTTTAAATTCTCTTCTCTGAGATTTGCTTTACTGTACCTGGTGGTTTTCTGTTATTTTGGGAAATCACACTAGTTTTAAACCTCATATTAAACTTCCTACATGAGTCAAGATCAGGCGTTTTTGTGTCATGCTGGAAATTACTGCTGAATAGCAGAACAAACAATGGTTTGAACCATTGGTCAAAAAGAGAAATGCAAATCATGTGGCCTTAGTTAATGTTCGCCAGCAATACAGACGCATGGAAAGTGACTGACTGACTGAGAGCAGAAATGAGAAACTACGATCCTCACCGCAATTATTCAAATGCACTATTAGTAATGTTCCTCCAGGCAATCTTTTAAAACTGTTTTACTCCATTGCTTCATGGTTTTAAAATGAATTTTTTTTTATTGCCGAATATATTAAAGGTTTTGATTACAAGTCTACACCCTTGTCTACGGCCTTTGCATTTTAATAAGAAAAATACCAAGTTGCACCACATAAATTTGGAGTTTACATTTTAGCCAAAGGCTTTAAAAATCACACACACACACACACACACATACATACAGGTGCATCTCAATAAATTAGAATATCGTGGAAAGTTCGTTTATGAAAAATTTAAGGGGGTCTGAATACTTTCCGTACCCACTGTATATCCTCCTGACTCCCAGCTATGGAGTTTTGTCCTCTGTAGATTTCACCATGACCACTCCCTCTCCTTGGTCTTTAAAAATGGCTGACATTAAATGATCAAATTTAACACCGTTATGGAAATATAGTATTTTGTAATGATCATTTAAAATTTGACTAATTTTCAAATTGTTTGTCATAAATCAACATCTCAGAAAAATTTTATGGGGTTTTAAATTAAAATATGAAACAGGACATTGATTTCATACATGTCCGCTGTAGAGGACACTAGGACTTAAAGCATGTTTAGTACACATTTTGGGAGACACGACAAATGAATAGGGAAGAAAAAAAAAATATATATTCCTATGAAATATTAGATATTATGGAAATCTTGCCAATTATTACTCCCATTATTGCACTTATTTTTTCATTCTATGTTGCCCCAAAAACATTCAAATTCAAATTAGATAATCTATAGATACATTGTATATAATGGGGAAAACCCATTTATGACCATTTTACACATTTTCATAAAGAAAAATGGTTTTGAAAATATATTTCATAATAGTTGAGAATCATCTTTATATTAAGTTTGTTATAAAAAAATCTCACTGTTTTTGCCTTTTCATGTCTTTATTATTTTTTTAAAAACAGGACCTTTTAAAAGTCCTGATGTCCTCTACAGAGGACATAGCATATCATATGAATTAATTTTATTTTAATATATTAATTATAAAATATTATATATATTCCTATGAAATATTAGATATTATGGAAATCTTGCCAATTATTACTCCCATTATTGCACTTATTTTTTCATTCTATGTTGCCCCAAAAACATTCAAATTCAAATTAGATAATCTATAGATACATTATATATAATGGGGAAAACCCATTTATGACCATTTTACACATTTTCATAAAGAAAAATGGTTTTGAAAATATATTTCATAATAGTTGAGAATCATCTTTATATTAAGTTTGTTATAAAAAAATCTCACTGTTTTTGCCTTTTCATGTCTTTATTATTTTTTTAAAAACAGGACCTTTTAAAAGTCCTGATGTCCTCTACAGAGGACATAGCATATCATATGAATTAATTTTATTTTAATATATTAATTATAAAATATTTGCGGAATTGAGTGAAGAATTTTTTCATTTGCTAAAATTTATAGACGTTTGTAATAATGGTCAAAGGACAAAAGCATTTTCAGAGGCTGTTTGAATTCAATTTAGTATTAGTATATAAAACATAAAGGGATTATAATTATAGAAGCTTAAAATTGATACTACCGTTCAGAAGTTTAGGGTTGGCACGTCTGAGCACGAAACGCACATTACAGTGTTAATGCATTCTATAGAAAATAGCTCACTTTAAAGAAAGTCTACAAGCATTAAAAAGCAAGCTTTAATTGATCTGAATGCATTTGCAGTTATTGTTTAAGTGCTTAATTACACTGCATTAATGCATGTACAATTAGTGTTTAAATATATTCCACAATTAACGGAAGGCAAAAAAAGACTAATGTTTCAGATGGCCCCTATGAAATATCACTCTACTTTTCAGATCCATTCTAATGCGCCAAGCCACCTCACTGTACATATGAGTACATTCAGGTGAAGTCCATATATTTGCATTAGTTATAATACTAACCTCCTCGCTGATGTCAAAAGGTGATAATTATAATTATAGAAGCTTAAAATTTATACTACCGTTCAGAAGTTTAGGGTTGGTAGATAAAAATACAAAAAAAGTGATTTTGAAAGCAGGATCTTAAGCCAACTGATTTAGTGTTCGAGAAGCATTTTCTGGTCGATGTTCAATATAGCTGTGCTCCTTAATACTTTTGTGTAAACAATAATATATTTTTTTTTTCATAAAAATCTGATGAATCAAAGGTTCAAACAGAAAAGCATTTGAAATAGATTCTTTTTTGTAACAGTGTAAGTCTTAGATGTCATTATATCAATTTAATGTGTATTAATTTCTCATAAGAAAATGACTCCAAATTTTTGAATGCCAGTGTAACATCTTAAATTAATTTACACCGCATACACATTTTAAAATAATACTCATTTATTTATCCATTGCTCTCTTACAAAAGGAACAGAAGATGTAGAAAATAAATCACAACACTTTTAAAATAAATAACCACACATTTTTTGAAATATGTGTGGAGCTAAAATGTTAGATAAATGAGCAGAAAACATTAAAACATAAATATGTCCAGTAATGAATTAACCGTTTAGTATTCTAGAAAAGAAAAATCCCACAGCTACATGCCAGAGCAAACCTTTGCCCTCCAGTCCTGTATGACGTCTCAGAATTCCTCACGTTCACATCATGAGCTGAGCTCCCCAAAGTTTCTACAAAGCTACTAAAATAAAATATTAACTGATTCGGAGGCTTTTTCTACACCTACTTCAATCCTTTGCCATGAAGCTCTATCTGCAGCTCGGTAATGGGATTTCCATCTTCCTTAATCCACATAAACAGGTGGAGGATGAGAATCAGCACGTCTGAGCACTAAACGCACATTACAGAGTGTTAATGCATTCTATCGGAAATAGCTCACTTTAAAACCACAAAAGAAAGTCTACAAGCATTAAAAAGCAAGCTTTAATTGATCTGAATGCATTTGCAGTTATTGTTTAAGTGCTTAATTACACTGCATTAATGCATGTACAATTAGTGTTTAAATATATTCCACAATTAACGGAAGGCAAAACAGACTAATGTTTCAGATGGCCCCTATGAAATATCACTCTACTTTTCAGATCCATTCTAATGCGCCAAGCCACCTCACTGTACATATGAGTACATTCAGGTGAAGTCCATATATTTGCATTAGTTATAATACTAACCTCCTCGCTGATGTCAAAAGGTGAAAGCATGCTGGTTTACGCCACCCGCAACCAAACCATAGTCTAACAAGTGAGCACAGGAACAGGAAAGGGAACTGTCCAAGATAATGACAGTTAGTTTATGAAATCTCTGCCACATTATAATTAGTGTGGGTGTCATGAGTTACATAAAATGTAAAAAAGAAAGGCACAGAAGGTCATATAAATGTGTATATAGTCTATGAGAATATATACAAATTTCTCCTTGATAAACATCCACAAAATTAACTGGAAAAACAGAAAATAAAACCGTAATTAAAATTAAATTAACAACAAACTGGCTGAAATATCAACCATAAAGTGTTGCTGATGGAAAGCAAACAAAAGTGTCAGCAAACGCTTTCAGTTTATAAAATGTTTCATATCTCACTTTCAACTTTCGATTTCAACTTCTGATTTCTTTTCTGAAGCATCACAAGGAGCTTTGGCGTCTAAATCAATGCTACTCTTCACTCCCTCCACCAGAGTTAACATCACTTGCTCTGTGTCCACCACCTCGTCTGTGATTGGCTGAGGCTCCACTTCTTCTACATTCTCATTGGCTGGAGACTGAAACCCACTGTCATCGTGATGAAGAGGGCTGGAGTTGGTAGAGGTTTGAGTGAATTCCCCATCAGAGTCGATGGCGCCTTCGCTCAGGTTCTCATTGGGGTCTTCCTGGATGGCGATCTCGATCTGTTGAATGGCGCTTTCAATGGCGGATACGCACTGCTCCTCTTCTAAAAACTGTTCAATCTGGGCGGTGTCCAATTCTTCGTCAACCTTGTTTGGTGACTCCCTTGGCACAATCTCTGTTACCGTTGTGATGTGCTTCACCTCATCGCCTTCTTCCAAAAGCAACATCCCGTTGGTCAACTGTGAGCCGTCTTTTTCGACCACTTCCAGCACGGGGTTTATGAGGTCTCGGATCTCATTGAGGCTGTCAGGAGAGCCTGGTTCTTTCTCGATGGGTACGTGCTGTATTGGGTTCACAGGCTTTTCTGTTTCAAGATCTTGTTCTGTCTGCCCTTCGCTCTCCTCTGGGATGCCGTCCACTCCTGGTACTTCCTGGCAGGACTCGTATGGCAGAGGCATCCCATCCAGGTGGATCATGGAGACGATCTGTTTGCGTTTCCTGTTGGCCACTTCGCCACCTTGCCTGTCTCCTTTTACTCCTCCGAATTGGCCAGCCCAGTCGATGGTGTCCTCTCCCAGCAGGTGCAGGTTGGGGTCGCTGTTGGTCAGGACCATGCTGTCTCTGTACAGGTTGTGCCTTCGCTGGACCGCAGCTTCCTTCACAGCTGCAGAATGAAAAGGAATGATTGAAAACGCATTGCAACAATATTTTTAAGCAGTAAGGTATGGAGGCTGTGCTATATTGTGCTAAAGGGGCTGCAGTGCAAACACTCACCCATCATGATGTCCTTGCTGACTGACTGCAGGACCACTTCCTCAAAGATGTTCTCTACTAGTATGAATCTAGAGAAGTCCTCAAAGATGAGCTCCTTGAACTTGGGCAGATCCTAGATTTCAAAGACAAAAAGTTTTTTTCCCCCCATATAACACCAAAACACACCATGTTTTCTAATTTTCTGTAAAATATGTATATTTATCATTTAAAATACATGATCAATAATTAGGCTGCATCTATAAATGAACTGTAAAAGATCAACAAATCATATGGAATTAATTATCTGGTTACAAATAATAATAATAATAATAATAATAAACTATTATTATCAGCAACAATAATAAATGTATAAATTATAATAATGAATGATCTGGTTACAAATAATAATAATAATGATGATAGTAGTAGTAGTATTTGTAACCAGATAATTTATTTTATATATAATCATCTCATCATTAATAATAACAACAATAATAATAATAATAAACTACAACAACTGTAATATTTTTATATTATCTGGTTACAAATACTACTACTATCATCAGCAGCACCATAATCATAATGATTATCAACAAGACAATAATTATCAACAAGTTAAATTAATACATTTGAATACATTATTATTATTAATAATAATAAATCATCCAATAACATATAATATATTAATAATAATAATAATAGTGGTGGTGGTAGTAGTACTATTTGTAACCAGATAATTTAGTATTTATATAATAATCTTATCACAAATAATAATAAATATAAACTACAACAACAGTAATATTTTTATATTATCTGGTTACAAATACTACTACTATCATCAACAGCATCAATATTATTATTATTATTAGCAACAAGTCAATAAATTTGAAAAATTAATAATGAATTACCCAGTTAAATATAATAATAATAATAATAATATAATAATATTATAATAATATTTGTCACCAGTTTAATTTCTGGGTCATTTTCTCTCTTTTGGTGACATTTTTGACCTGAGCCCCCATTAATATCTGAGAAATATTAAGAGCGACACAGTAGGAAAAATGACCTGTTTTTCTTACATGTGTAGCATAAAATTCATTTAAAAAAATGACACCGAACAATGGCACTTCTAAATATATCAGAGAGAGGCTGATTCCTTGTACCAACCGGTGAACAGGATGGAGAGAGCTGTTTCAGCATGTACGGTATGATGATTTGAAGCAACGCCTCCCTGAAGAACTTCTTCCTCACTGTGCTGCTGTCATAGTCATATTTCTGCAGGTCATAAACAACCAGAATTAAAGTGAGGAAATGAAGGTGGTCTTCAAAAATGTTCTGATACAGCAATGACCCAGGAGCTGTGTAACAAAACCGGTTTCAGCTTTGCGGAGTAAAGACCCAACTAATGCACTTACTTTGAGTACTCTGTCCTGACAGCGCTGGATGATCTTGCAGAAATCCTCCCCACTGTGGCCATCTAGACTCTGATGGACCAGCTGCTCAAATGTGTGCACTGCGTTGTCCATTTGCTACATACATCAATAGAGGAATTTTAGTACGGATTGTCATCAACTTTGATGGTTTATTTGTAAAACATTTGAGAATTCTAAAAGGACAAAGGCTATTTTGGAAATCAATATGCACATTTTCTGCATGCATATAATACTAAAATGACCATGTGATGTTATATACCAAAATAGAACAGACAGATAGATTGATAGACAGACGGACATATAGATAGATGTGATCTGTTTCACTTGAATTAAAAAAAAATTTTTTTTAATTAGCTGTCAGATAACAGGGTATACTTTGATTCAGTAAAATCTCAGTATAAGTCTCAATTGCCAACATACCTGCAATAAGAGTTATTACCTCAGGGTGGCGCTCATTAACAATAAACTGCTATCTCTTTAATACGCTTTAGCCATTTTTCACATTGATTCAAGCTCTTGGCCTCGCTGCTAAATCACTGCTTGTTTTTTATTTTGTTGGTAGGCACCAGAAAAATTAATGCAGGCTATGGAATGATTAATATCAAATCAATTTCAAGTGCTAGTGCCAAGTACTGCAAAACTTCAAGAAGTTTTAGATATTTAAATGGAATATTAAAAAAAATAAAATAAAAAAAGAGGAAAGACACCTGTCTCATGAGGATCTGAGCTCTCTGGATGAACACAGAGGGACTGGACACGTCACATCTCTGCTGGAGGCCTTCAAGGTTCAACGCCTCCATCTTCTCATAACAGCTCTGCATCTTCACCGGATGGAAGGCCAACATGGAAATCTTGTCCATATGCTATGAAGAGAGGATTTTGAGTTAGCTATCGCTTTAAAAAGGCTCTGCTAACATTGTTAATCAAAGTTCTGCCTCACCTCTCCCAGCTTCTCACTGCTTCTATCGTTCATTGTGTTCTTGCTGACCTCCACCAGCTCACGGAAGAGGATGTCCCTCACTTCAGAGAATCCTCTGCTGGTGGGCTCCATGAGGGCCTCCAGGATGGAGTGGATGTAGGGCTGAACCTTGCTTCTCACAAGCTGTTCGACACGGGGCAACACCAACGCTTCAAGAAGAGGATTAGACAAATATTAGTGCACTAGAACGCCCCTTATAGAGGGAAAAAACCTTCATATTTAATATTAAACTTGTGTGCTTTTGTTTAAATTACAGGTGGCTGCATGAAAACTGAAGCTTTAAATTCATGTGAAATGTTCAGCGCACATGTGTTTGTTTTCAGGTTGTGAGAGACATCCTGACCTACAAGGGACTTTTATGTTTAAATGTTGTCTCACTCCTCAAATTGCGAGTCATAAACAAAGAACGCTTTAGAAAAGACTCGATTATGAAAGCTTAAGACTGATCACAATGACTCTAGGCCACATAATGGGCCCTGGTATCTGTGAACAAGTGATTGTAGGAAAGCACCTGTCCTAGGTGTCAAAACAACCACTATTATTCCGTAAGAATAAAGGAGCCATCACAAACACACAGATGGACTCTAAAGTAATTTAGAGATTTGTACAAATACTCAAAAACATGCTGTCAAGATTATTTCGCTCGTGTTATTTGAAATGTGCTATGGGTGGAACACAGTCCTAGCCACAAATGACACAAGAAAAATTTAGTACTCTTGCCAAACCTACATTATGGCAGGACGGTCTGAGCTTTTTAGGTTAAAGCCAAACTATGTTGATTGCGACTGAATTCCAATGAAAGAAGTATCATGTGGAAGAATGGGAGACTGAAATAGTGCAGCTAAGAGTAGAGTAAAATAAAATAAATTGTGGCATAATCTGTGTATTAAATGAAGTCTCAATCATTAAGATTCAAAAGTATCTGTAATACCGAATCATCAGAACACAACAAAAAGCCTGATGATAAAGCACTACACTTAAACAATCATAGAATCTAAAGATCTTAATTGTCATGAATCAGGCGATGTGTTTTTGCTCTTGCTTTTTTTGAGAGAGGTTTTTTTTAAAGCAACATCAGAAGTGTGTGGCCATGTATGACACATTAGTAATCTCCACAGAGACGGTTGATTGGTTTTCTCATACCACGGATCTTTCCAGAAACGTGCTCTTTGGATGTGATGATCTGATCCATATCTGTGCGCAGAGCGGAGTCCAGACGGGGGCGCTCCACCTCACATACTTGAGCCAGAGCTTCGTGTTGAGTCTTTGTCTGTGACACCACCTGTCTGTATACTGCATCTGAGATCTGACAGGGCAAACAAACAGATGATAAACAAACCTCAAAGAAATCGCAGCGGATATACACATACATGTAGAAATTAATTCCCTAATCCAGTAACAAACAATTAAATAAGGGCTTAACAACAGAGTGGGTCAGTGGTGAAAGTCCGCACATGTTCAGGACATTTGCTGATCACGTGCAATTGTTTTTATGCCTTACAAACCTAAATGATTTGTTTGTGTAATGTATTGAACATTACAAGATAGTAAACTTGTCACCAAGGTAATAATCTAGCTGGCTTACAGAGATAAGGCTGTCGAAATTGTGAGTTGTGAGCTATGGAAGCCTCAAAAAGAGTTATACCAATTGGTAATGTTCCACAGTGTAATCATACATAAATAAATAAAAAACAATTGTGATTTTATATATAATAATTTTTTTTCCAAATAGTATATTTTATTTTAACAGTAATATTTATTCCAATAGTAATATTTTAATAATTTTTTATTCCAAATGATACTTCTCAAAAGCTTGAAAATGTGGAATCTAATTTTTATATCTATTATAAATGAATTCATCTATTGCAAAGAGAAGCATTATGCAATCATGAAAATGGTTTGCAAATACTTGTGTAAACGAACAGAAGATTCTTTTTACAGCTTCAGAATTCACATATGAGAACCAACCAGCATCCAGTCCCTCTGTCTCTGTTGCAGTTTTCCTTTCAGCCGAGGCACGATCAGATTCTTCAGTTCAGGGTGCAAAGTCTCCATCACCAGGTTAGCAAGAATCTAGACACACAAACACACAGATGTAGATGAAAAAAGCCATTGGTTACACAGCAACTGGAAGTATGTTTAAATAATGATGACAGAATTTGAATAGTGCTTAAGAAACATGATAAGACAGTTTCGAGAGCATCATTAACTTCATGCAAACAGCTCAGTGGTTTTGCATGCATATCTTCAGTAACTAGACTGCAGACCGTATAATGTCAAACTATCAATTCCTGAAACACAATGCTTTATCGTTCAAAACAACTACTTGGACGCCTATCACAGATGGCTGCTTTGTTCATGCTCACTGCATTGACAGCCAAAACAGAAATAACCTTTGATGCCGAGAAACATGTCTGCAAGAATAAGTCCGCTCTTTTCATGTGTGTTTTTAGGGATAGGACAATTGGTTTATCATAAATAACACACCAATCATGACACGTTCACGGTCTAAATATTAGGATTAGTTCACACTTTAATATTTCCTGATATCAAATAATGCATTTGTTGAAGAGAAAGAGAGAGCGAGGGGTAATGAAGTCAGCGAAAGGGGCTTCTTTATGACCTGACAGTGATTGACTGACATTTATTTGAGGTGTATTAGCTGGTCACCTGTAAGGCATCCAGCCACACCATGCACATAAAATGCAGCAATGAGTAATGGCTAATTGAACTCAAATTACTGCTACAGGCTTGGCTATCAGTAACTATACGATGATCTTCATGTAAAGATATTAGGGTGAGCGGCATGAGTTCAAGTTCTGAGCTTCTGACAATTTCATCTGAAAGTAAATAGTACAGAATCGCTCTCAACCCTCCCCTCGCACAGTTTCCATAGCAATGCAGGGGCCATGTGGGCAGTAACACCACGCAGACCCCCTGACAGAAAAACAAAAAACAGACGGCCCACACCCAGCAGTAATAACAGCCCACGCAGCCGTTTCCAGTGTGGTGTCACATCCAGGCTGACCGTGACGCGATGTAACACCGCTGAGGGCGGGATGAAGAGGAATGACCATGTTTCTCGCGCACGGACAATGTCAATACCTTCTTTATATACAACTCCTAGTACTTTTCCTTGGTTAAAGTGTAAGAACAGAGGCATTAATTGGCTTTATACACACACACACAAACACAAAAAGCTCATTCATAAGAAACATTTCCTGGGTGTTTTCTGGAAAGAAGCAAAAAAACTTAGTCAAGACGTCACTTATTGAGCATTATTGTCAAACGGTGACGCATCAGACTTGAATACGCTCAAAATAAAAGGGAATTTAAAGCTATAGTAGAGGAGAAGATACTCATTGGCATTTTAACTGAAATTCTGGACAGTTTGTCACTGAAAGCTATCAAAAGTTAATGAATTCAGTGCAAAACTAAACATTTTATGTAGGGATGCCAAAAAAAAAGGCGCTCACCTTAAATCCAGATCAACTGACACCAAACATGCAGTGGAAAAAGGATTTTCATTTTAAGAATATTTAACTCATGAAAATTGGTATGAGAACAAAATATTTAATACTTAACATGCTTTAATACTCCAAATTTGAACAGAAGAACTAGGGGGAAAATAACAGTTTAATTACAAAATGACTACCTTCATTTCATAAATGTTTTTGGTGTATTTGGAAGATACCATGAGATAAAAAAAAATTTCCATTATAGGTCCCCTTTAAGGGCACTGTATGGTTATGTGTGTGTCTGAGACAGCACGAGGTGTGAGGATAACCAGCACCCAATACTTTTAATGATTGCCTATTTGCATTTTATTCAAATCTCTGTGTGTACGCGAGAAAGCAGGCAAGATAGACATTCCTAAATCTGTTAGAAACTAAAGGTTATTTCTAGCACATTATGACTAAAATGAGACAGCAGTACAAAGTTACAAACCAGAGACCTGACCATAACTCACCCCTCTAATGACACATTCTCAGCCGTCTCTCTGCTCTGTGGTTTAGACATTATTGAGGGTTTGTGCTGCTCCAGCACATTAGAGAGCTTAAATACAGAGTGATCAGTCTGATGTATCAAGATAAAGCTTAAAAAGAGCTAGTCTTTTAGAAATGGGCTTCTGGTCAGATAGAAAGATGTAAAATGTTGCATTTGGAATGTTTATGTGTTTAAATGAGTTTGGGAGGGAGAAATGGGTCATTCAGAAAGATTAATTAATTATTATGATGTCACAAATATTAGCACATTAAGATATGACCACCCACATTAAACACTTATGAAACTCATGGAGGTTAGCCAGCCATAATGGGTAAATTTACATATAGAAGTCTTAAAGGAACAGTACAGTTTGAGTTTAAGGGTCATGGAGTTTCTAAGGGTTATACAGCATGGAACAAACATCTAAAAGTAAATACAGTTTTTTTGGTGACAATATGGTCTCTTTGAGAGTGTCAGTGGTGAAGCCAATCCTGACACTTCTGCCCCTGTCTTTACCTTCTAAAAAAAACTGCTTAAATCAACACCTGATGGAAGTTGGTTTGGCATGGTTTCTAGCTGGTCTAAGATGATCATTTATGATCATTAGTTGCTCTAGATGGTCAGTTGCCAAATCACCAGGTCTAGAGGCAATTACAAGCTGGTGGCTCAAATTTAACTTTGTAAACCATCTTGGTCAGGCTGGTAGACCACCTTAAGCATGTAGACCTAATTTTTTCAAGCTAGAGTCTCTCAAATTCTCTCCTGCTGAAGTTCTCAGTGAAATTAATATAGTTAATTTAAGAGTGTTAGCCACACCTGAGCCAAAGTTTGGGTGCCCTCCCACCTGTCTGGGACAGAGGATAAAGCCTGGATTGAGGACATGTAGAGGAAACTCTACCCAAACTATCCAAGGAAAACAGAAGTGCACAGGGATAAATGCTGTCTGAACTGTTCTTTCCTCCTCTCGGTCTCGTTCTTTTTCAGGGAAGCTTTGATTTCGCCTACATTCTTATTCCCATGAGTCTAAGACATTGTCTAAGGCCCATTAGATAGCATCAGGAGCACCTTAAACTCACTAAACATACTGCATGAAATGCAACAATCAACAGAATGATGCATTCTATATGTAAAGCATCCCGTTTTGTAAAAAGGGTGATTTATTTCTGACATTTGCCAGATTTTCCAAACGGATATGAATGATCTTCACCAACCTGTGCTTGGTTTCCACACATCAGGTCCCAGGTGCCATAGTGACCCTTGGCCTGCCTGTAGAGCCGCAGGGCATCCGTGAAAGCTGGTGTCGCTACCTTGCACTCTTCCGACAGTCCTAGAGAGGTCAAGAAACATGACATGTTATAGAAGCGTGTCATATGATTACCTATGGCCAAATCACAGCCATGATGATATAGAGCAATATTGCACAAATACACGTGTGCTGTTGCTCATATATTCAACAAGGGTGTCAACATCCTTCTACACATTTACTGGGTTTTCACAAAACCATCTAAGATTTTCACTAACAATATTAATTTAAACAATTTAGTTTGGTTGGCCTCAAGAATTTTTGAATTCAAATCCGAACAATCCTAACCAGCTTTTTTTCTTTTTGCTGGTCCAAACTGGTGACGGCTGGTAGACTAACTTGGACCAGCTATAAATCATGTTAAGCTGGCACAGCCTGGTTTTTCCAGCAAGGAAAAGGAATAGTTTACCATTTTAATAATAAGACTTCATCTTCACTTGGAGATCTATACATTCACTAAGAGTCTGTGGATGGAAACTACAGCTACCACCACTCAAGCAGAGAATCCACAAGACTTAACGTGACAAGACTTATTGGAAAAACACTTAAATGGAGATATAATTATACAGTACTGTAGTGAAGATGGATAATGTGCTCGATTTTTTGCATAAAAGCTGCACATCAGAGGTGATGAAAGAATTCCAATTTGTAGATGATGATCAAACCATTACCAAACAGTCCCGCTCTTGCCACTACTAAAAGTGTATATGAATGAACAGCTGTTATTTGGAGAGATTTGAGTCTTTTGGGGAAAAGATAACCTTTTAGAGTTGCTTTCCTGTTGGAAGCGGGAAGTAAGTGTGATCCATAAAGTTACACATATGGGCAAGGAAAGACAAACACAGATCGACATGAGCAATGGCAAGCTGCACAAACAGTCATAGGACTAGAGCTGGTGATGGGGAGCATGTATATCTGCGTGCTGCAGTAAGTTTCAGATTGGCTGACACAAAGACAGGAAGTCAGCAGTGAGAGATGGAGGGATGGAGTGTGTAACAGTCTGTCAGGAACAGGAAATCCACTCAGCGTCCATTTTCCAGGACTCAGAGAAAGAGAGAGAAGGAGGCCGAGAGAGAGAGAGAGAGACACACACACACACACACACACACAGAATAGAGGAAAGTAGAAAATAACTAGCTTTTCTTGGCATGAGCCCCATGAGAAAACACTAGATGCGTTTGTCAGCAGTCTGCTTGGAGAAAGTCCCTAGAGTTCTGTGCTCGATAAAACACGATAAACCCTAATCAGTATTGAACCACCTCGTCCCCAGACATGTCCACTGGTAATACAACTAGCAGTCCTAACAAACTAGAGACACCTTACATCAAAAGTTAATTTGAATGTGGCTTTAGTGTTGGGTGAAAAAAAATAAAATAAAAAAAGCTACACTCTTTTTCTCTGGCAAGCTGGCAGGCCTGAGAAACTCAACGCAAGAGTCTTGAGCAAAAAATAGTACATATGGTAGAGTTTAGCGTGGGCCGCCTCTGGCATGGGGCTGCACGGTGGTTAGCCGAGACTCCTGGGATGGCTGGTTCCCAGGGTTCCTATGCCACTGCATGTGTGCACTCTTACCATTACTGTTCTGTTCACTGGAGCATTTCCCATTTGGGCTAAAAGCACAAGAACTAGAAGAGTTTCAACAAAAATGTCTTATCTCAGAATCAATAATGAGAACCAAAGAAAACATTTCAGCTTTTTAAATGACATTTCTTTCCAAATCTGGAGGAAAGCTATGTCTAGAGCAAACAAACATAAATCTTACCGTGGACTGACTTTTACAAGTACATACTAATTATTTTTATATTAACAATATTTACATTTTTAGTTTCAGTATAAACAAAAACAAGTGAATGTACACACAAAAGAATGTTTTTTTTTTTGTTAAAGGGGCCATAAAATGTAGAAATCAAATTTTCTAAATCTTTTGAATTTCAGTGGAGAAAATTCAGTGCACTATGAAAACATAGTGCTTGTAGAATGTAAAATGTCCACCCTTTTAAACCTATTAAAACGAAGCAGAAAAAGAGACTCATCGACTCATTGTGTCAGATTGTGATTAACATGAATGCCCACATTACTACACCAAGAGCTATTTAAATTAATAAATTATTACTAAAAACGAATCAAAATTAAAAAACGGAAAATAACTAAAGCAAACAAATAGATTTTTAGATTTTTCAGTTTTAACTTATAATAATAAATATTATATAGTAATAAAAAAAAAAAAATAAAATAAAAACTTAATTTAAGAGTTCTTGAACCTTTTTTGAATCACTCTCGGTTTCTTTCAATTAAAATAATGGTTTGTCATAATTACAAAAAGAAATACAATAAATATATTAGCCTATATGGGAAGGTGGGGTTGTGGTGATTAAAAAATAAATGGATAATCTGTTTAAAAGACACAACTGAGATGCATAAAAAAAACAACAACAACAAGTCACTGCTCTTCAGGTTCACATGTGGGCTTTACCCAAATAGACGGTCACAGTGTGCCTATTACTTAGCGCAAAGGGCTGTTATTAAATTTCAGCTGAATTGTTAAAGGGGCCATAAAATGTAGAAATCAAATTTTCTAAATCTTTTGAATTTCAGTGGAGAAAATTCAGTGCACTATGAAAACATAGTGCTTGTAGAATGTAAAATGTCCACCCTTTTAAACCTATTAAAACGAAGCAGAAAAAGAGATCATTGACTCATTGTGTCAGATTGTGATTAACATGAATGCCCACATTACTACACCAAGAGCTATTTAAATTAATAAATTATTACTAAAAATTAATCAATTAAAAAACGGAAAATAACAAAATAAGCAAACAAATAGATTTTTAGATTTTTCAGTTTTAACTTATAATAATAAATATTATATAGTAATAATAAAACATTTTTTAAAAGAAAACTTAATTTAAGAGTTCTTGAACCTTTTTTGAATCACTCTCGGTTTCTTTCAATTAAAATAATGGTTTGTCATAATTACAAAAAGAAATACAATAAATATATTAGCCTATTAAAAGACACAACTGAGATGCATTAAAAAAACAACAACAACAACAGTCACTGCTCTTCAGGTTCACATGTGGGCTTTACCCAAATAGACGGTCACAGTGTGCCTATTACTTAGCGCAAAGGGCTGTTATTAAATTTCAGCTGAATTCAAAGTATTGTGTTTGATTGTGTATTGCAGCTGTCAACAGTGTCTACGATTCTATATATGAAACTGACATTCACCTCTACTTTAATTTTAAAACCGGTTTGTTTTCTTTCTGCCATTGGTCTCCACACTACGATGTCATAATGGGTGTGATGATATGATTGATTACTAACTGTTGTAAGTTGCCAATGAGACGGGTATGACTACAACAAAAATGACTAGCCACCACCACAGGCTGTCAGAACAATGACTAGAATACAATTACTAGATGAACAAAAATGTTCAGAATGCAACATTTGCATTCAATCCCCAATGTTTGAAACTCTCTATTGGTTTAGTCCCATTCCTGAAGGCTAGACAGATCAATTAAAACATGCAGTTCCAAGTTGCCAATGAGACGGGTATGACTACAACAAAACAAATGACTAGCCACCACCACAGGCTGTCAGAACAATGACTAGAATACAATTACTAGATGAACAAAAATGTTCAGAATGCAACATTTGCATTCAATCCCCAATGTTTGAAACTCTCTATTGGTTTAGTCCCATTCCTGAAGGCTAGACAGATCAATTAAAACATGCAGTTCATACACAGTCAAGTTCAAATTCAAACAGCTTAAAATAGTGTATATGTGGTTTGCTTTATCTTAGGCTTTTTGAAAGGCCTTCGTGTATAATTCCTCTTGATTTCATTCCAATGCTGTAATAAAACCCAAGCACTTTGAGCACCTACTGTAATACCACAGCTTTGCATGTGGTTGATCGTCTCTGCCCTCTGGTAACCCTCTAGCAAAAACACAGAGCTGTGTTCTCACATATGTGGAGCAACTACCTGAAGTCATTCAGCCGTCGGCTTCAGGCAGGTCTCAGGGATTTTGCAGAGCCCTTCCCTGATGCCTCAAAGGCAAATTATATTCCCTATGTAGGGCCCTATGAAATGCATGCTATTTTTTCCCAAATTCCATTTGATTTTTTCCCAAAATTAATTTTTTTCCATTTAAATTGTTCTGTTTTCCATTAAAATTTTTTTAGACTGTTTTAATGGTTAAATTAAATGTTATTAAACAAAAAGCATGTCAAATTATTTGAACTCACAAAACTTATTTAACAGCAATTTATTAAAAGTTTAACAAATTACATTAAGGCAATAAATTACACTTTTTTTTTTCCAAATTCAGCTTTATTTTTTACAAAATTGAATGTTCCATTAATTTCATGGATTCCATTTTAATGGTATCATTAAATTTTAATAATCAAAACAATCTCCAATTGATTTTATATTTTAAAAAATATTTATTTATTTTTTCAGAAATCGTTGTGCATTTACATTTTTCTGTTCAGTTAATTCTGGTAAATATTTCTAGCATATATACCTTTAAAAATAATGTTTTAATAATAATTGTATTATTAGTAGTAGTACCATAATTACATTATACAATATACATATTTCTGTCACAGTTTCTTCAAGTTAAACCAAACTTTTATTTTGACTGGTTGCTTTGAAGTTTTTACATTTACATTTAGTCATTTTGCAGACGCTTTTATCCAAAGAGACTTTTGATTGTATATGATATGACGATAGTGTCACATGTCAGCGCACTGCCCACTAGGCTATTGGCGCTGACTACAGTCATTTTTAATGTGCATCATTCCAATAAATATCTCTTATGCTCACCAAGGCTGCATTTATTTGATCAAGAACACATACAAAAAAACTGTAATACTGAGAAATATTATTACAATTTTAAATATCAGTTTTTCTAGTGTAATGTAATAAAATATTTTAAAACAATTTATTCTTTTGATGGCAAAGCTGAATTTTCAGCATCCATTACTTTAGTCTTCAGTATCACTTGACACTTAAGAAATCATTCTAATATGCTTATTTGATGTTCAAGAAACATTTCTTATTATTGTCAATGTTTCAAATAGTTGTGCGGCTTAATGTTTTTGTGGAAACCATGATATATTTTTCAGGATTAATGTATGTGTGTTCAAAAGAACAGGATTTATTTGAAACAGATTTCTTTTGTAACAACATTATAAATGTGAATCATGTAAAAAAATATATATATATATATAAAAAAAAAATCTAAATTAATTAGATTTGAACAGTACAACAAAATAGTACCTTATATTAAATTTGACTTGATTAAGCCATTTTGGAATTTGATTTCTACGTAGAAATTCCTAGAAGATATCAATGCATTCTAATGAAGAATTTAAAAAATGACACGTCATAAAGAGCACTAAAAGTTCACTGTTCTTGCATGGGATATTTAGCATCAGTTAAAATGACAAAAAGAACATCCTCCACACCTTAAAGTAATTTGAAAAGCATTCAACATTTCAAGCTGAGACACAAACACTTCTTTCCCTCACAAACACAGGCATAGACACACACCCTGCTGTGTGATTTGAAATATGACAATAAGCCAGAAGACAGGTGATTTGAGGGTGGAGTTGAAGGTAATGTAATACTATGAATTTTTATAAAGGCATGCAGATGTTTTGGAGCATATTTAGCTAGAAATGCTCTATAGACTACGTTTGAGTGACGGGGAGGAAAGATGAATGTCGTAGGTCAAATCTCGCTGTTTATTCATCTCTCACTGTGAGTCAGAAAGAAACGATTATATGCAGCAAATGCTCTGGTATGGAGATCCATTTTAAGGTTATTTTGGATAGTAGCTGACATGGCAAAATCGACTCCTTTATGCCGACAAACTACAACTTTCTCATGACAATGTGCGTTTTTTTGTGCACACAAATCAACAAATGAACATTAACATGTGAACTACTGTTTCCCGTAATATAGCTGTGATATAGATATATAGATTAAGTAGATAAGACAGGTCTTTTTAAACTCAGCAAAGCAGATACACTTAGAGAGAAGCACACATGGCATCAATCTAAAAACAGAACGAATGCTTTGCTTTGCCTTTGTTTGTGACCGTGACTCACCGTTGTTGCTGTGTCTCACACAGTCCTGGAAGACGGCATGCCACTTCTTCTGTTCTTTCTCCGTCATGACACAGAAGTAGTGATGGCGGGCGTATGGATGCCACAGGATGAGGGGAAACTGCGTGGGACATTTCAGAAACGGGGCACTGGCCACTTTGGCCTTTGTATCTAAAACAACAGAATACACAATATAAGAACATTACATGATTATAAATTATTTAAAATTACACTGATTAGACATAATAGATTATATAGCACTGTATATGGAGTATTAAAAGGACTCATCCTGCATGTATCCTGTCTATTCTAGACATTATTACTATTTAAAAAAAAAAAAAAGATAAAATAAAATACATAATTATATTATGAGATCAAATAAGAACTCTTATAAATAAATAAAATAAATACCCTACTTCATAAACTGAAATTTGAACATTTAAAAATTACTATTAAATTACTATTTTTTAAATTACTATCGGATATAGTGTGTTCATACTTCGACTTTAAAATGATATTGTGCTACATGTCCATTAGGATCTTTTAGAATTCTGATAGTATTTTCTGACAATGCTACTTTTCTGTCTGTTTATTTAAATATTATTGTATTCATTCATTTCTCACCACTCAGGCTATTGTTTAGAAGCCCCAGGTATTCCTCCATCGAGGTCAGGGCTCTGTACCCGGCACAGTTAATGACCCCTTTGGAGTGGAGACCTCGATCATGTGCCTGTAGAGGAAACACACAGCTCAGAATCACTCTGCAGCTGGGGAAATGACAAACATATCCACTAACAGCAGGACACTTTATATTCACTTTAGGTCCAGTAATGCAAGATTAACATTCAGATCATTTTTTCTTTTGTTTACATTTAATTATCTGAGCTGGGCATGTTTGTGGTGAAAGTTAGGGAAAAAAACAACACGCTCAGTGGTTTACACTCACCGCTTTGCTCTCATATAAGCTGATGTTGTAGGAGTCGCCCACATACAAAAAGCGGCTCCTCCATTTCTTGCTCTCTTCCAGATACTGAAACAAACCTCCAGAGAAGATGGACTTGTTCTTCAGAGGGTCCTGTGGTGGGAACAAACGCATTTTAAATGATTGCAAATCAAAATCATTTTACTAGATGAAAGCATGACTAAACAAATCAATGAATGGTGTTTAGAAGACCAACGTGAAATACTCCCAGCAGTCGGAAATAACAAAAGGCCAGTTCGAGACGTATTTATATAACATAGATCTGAGTGATTCAGCCCAAAATAAGAAATGGGTGGAGCAACTGGTACATAAAAGACATTCAAGCTTGTGTTATGTCTACAATCAAAACCACTGCTTTCTGTTAATGGATGCTGAATTTACCACTGGTGGGTGTGCATGCTTTTGAACACGGTTAATCGGTTAATCTTTGAAACTAAATACAAATACAATGCAGACAGATATTTTTCAAGTCCAGCTGTCCTGTCTCATAACATCTGAAGGACTTCAAATATGAGAGTGCACAAGCGTTTTTCTTGGCCATGGTCTAGATTTCTGTGTTTAGTAGAGATCAAACGACTTCATGGACAAATGATAATTGGGGAGGCCAGGAGAGTTTGGAGACCAATAAGAAAATAGTTTTTAAACTTTCTGCGCATTTGTTGAGATAACCAAGATCTCAGAACATCCCTACCAACCTAATGCAATCAAACCATTTCAGCCAACAATGTGTTGGTGACTGATCTTGAACTGTTTGACAGATTTGTCCACTGCAGAAAAGCTGGTTTCAGCTCCTTTGACATGCTCGTCTCAACCCAGAAACAATTAATATCAGAGGTCAGGGGGGTGGAAAGTTTTCAAAACAACAACAACTTAGTCTGGCAAAACCAAGTAGATCCTTCCCATTATAATCAAAGTCTTCTAAACTGGGAACGCCCGGGGCGATGCTCATTCAGTTGATGGATGCAAAGTACCCATGCACTGGACAGCTGCTCCAGCCACTTCAATTTTTCATGTTTGTCTAAAACATAATTACAGTTATATTAATTGTTTGCGTTATAACTTTTGGCAGTTGCATCAACACAAATTCCATAAGTAATACTCGTAAACAAAGACAGTACTGCTCCAAGTTCATTTGTGGGCAGGTTATGTTGTCGGTTATATCATCATTAGACTCAATGGAAATGTGGGCTGGCACCAGCACCAGCATAATTTTGGTGAAAAATGGCATTCGAAAGCAAGGTCTACCCAAGATCCTTTGATGTTACAGTCAGTGGAATGGCGTCTGAAGTCTTTATGTGCTTTTGTGTGTGTGTATTTGCTATTCAAGCCTTTGTTACAATTATTTAACTTGTGTGAAATCTGCTCCACTTCCTCTTCGCTGACTTCATGCCGATAAGCACGACCAGAGTCTTCAAAACGAGGGAAACAGTACAGCAGAGCCAAAGGGAAAAAAATAAAAATAAAAATAAAAAAAGGCAAAACTGCAGCAGGAAGGCTTACGTCTGATCTCATTTTAACCTGGAGTGGGCAATATTCTTTGCCATTATTTTTCCATGCTTTGACAATCTTTCCCCATCCCTCTGGGATCTACATGACTGGACAGACAGAGGTGAAATGTAGGGGGTTTTACCTTTCTATGTAGCAGTTGTGTCTGGGTATTCCCTCCTCCTTCGATCTCATAGCGTACGCTGTTGAACAAAGCCACAGCGTACTGCTGCTCATAAAACCTCCCAAACTCTGCCATCACAGCGTTGGTGCGGGCTAAGTTGGAACAGAGATACAGGATTAGTTAGATTTAAAGAAGGACCGCAGCACAGGAAAGAAATGATTACTTTACAGCTGCAGAGTGCACTGCAAATTGCAGGTTGCATTTGCTGGAGGTTACTTTAGGTCAAATGGCAGTATAAACATTTAATCACAATCACAAAACATTATAAACCTGTTTAGTTAGTTTTAGTCTTTTAGTTGAGAATTGTTCCCAAAAGCAATTAGGCAAGATAACAACAAAGATGAAAACACAGAGGAAAAACCCAGCCTCTTACAGCATCAAACAAAACAGAGCTGTAACTTGATCCAAGATTTTTAGTTGACTAGAACTACAGTGTGAAATACAACAAATGACAATCCACTGTCGACATCATTAGCCCATGTCTGCGTGTGCGGGTTTGAAAGAGTTCAAACGGAAATCATGATATTGCCATGTACGATTATTAAACCACAAAAGGCTGCAATTTAAAAAAAAATTTATATATAGTCTGCATGCTTTAAAATATGTTTTAAAATATAGTACTGCCATGTAAAATGTATTATTATTAATATAAATTTTATATGCACATTATCTATTTTTATAAAATAGTAATTTAATAATTTAAATATTAAATTATTAAAATAATTTTAGAGATATAAAATAAATTTATTAAATACATTACCATATTAGATGTAAAGGGAAAAAATAATAGACCAAAATAATAAGATTATGATTTTTGGGCCATTTTGTGCAACCCTCACTGTGTATTCTATTACAATATCATAACACTTATATTGAAATATATCTAATCTGTGAAAATGCTGATCCTGAAATTCAATAGGGTTACAAAAGAAAAGGTGATCAACAATAAATGGGAATTCCTGATAAAGAGAGAAACAGTTGCAAAAACAGTCAAGTGTGGAAACACATGGACACCGTATGAAAATAAACATCGAAAATGAAAAGACCCGAGCCTGCAGGCTTATTGAAGCTTTATGAAAAGAAGATGGTGCTATTAAGATGAATTTGCTTATATAAAGAGGCCAATAAATGGAAAAAGTGATGCATGATCAGAGGCAAATCACATTTGAATGCCATATTCAAAGCATAGTGGTCTAGTTTTAAAGCAAACAATATCCTTGGCATTTAATATTAACATGACGAGAGCCTTAGCGTTTGGATGCTGATGAAAGTTGGCACATGTTTGAATGTATGTGAAAGGAGGACATACTTCCATAAGAAACAAGAAGGAACAACCTGACAGGAATGGAAAAGGAAGAAGGGCCACATCTGATGTCAACTGAATACACACGGCCTTCTGGGTATTCAGGTTTACTGTACCATGGCCTACAGTAGGTCTCCACAGGAAGGAATCTCTTCACTTACACCTCATTTCTCAAGCACTCCATCAGATTAGGAGCTTCTTGTTACAGGACATTTGAATGAAAACCATGTTGTTGTGATTGCATGAATGCAGCAGCCGGTGTGTCTGTGAGGGCAGACCGTTCTCTAGCAGACCCACTATTGTATTAAACTAGAATAACTTGTAGACTCCGTTTGCTTTGGCTCAGTGTGGACTATTCCACTGTATTCATTCACATGTATATTTGCAGAGAGTGTTTCTAGACACTCAGTTGGCACAGGTGGAACAGGTGCTGGCGACGATTCGCTAGCAAACTTCTTATCAACATAAACCCTGTAATGTAATGCTGTTGTGAACACCGCACATCACTCATCACATCTTAAGATGGGTTTCACTCGGAGCGTGTTAAAACGCATTAGAGCTGGGGTTTTCAATCTTGGACCCCCAGGTGGCTGCATGAGAATCCTAGGAGGTCCATGGAAAACTGAGAAAAACGCAGTTAAAAAAAAAAAAAAAAAAAAAAAAAAAAGGGAAGAAAATTACAAAATGACAGTCTAGGTAAATGATGACATTTTGATTTTTTTTTTTTTGAGTGAAAAACGCATCTGGACTCCGTCTCATACCGCTGTTGTTTTTGAGCGCGCGAATGCGTCCAGGTTTCTTCGGTGTAACTTACACGCGTCTGCTAAAAATCTCTTAAAGATTTGTGTATGGTGTATCCACGCTGACTAAACCCATCTCTTTTAATTAAACAGTCCTCTTTTAAAGTACGCTAGCTCTATTTTCCCTTTTAAAAGTAACACAAACGCGTTTTACCTGTAATCATCTCCCGTTTGCCTTCGTCCAGGTTGGTAGAAATCACATCACCCATGGTGACGATTTAAATGACAGTCACGGATATTGAAGAAAGTTCCTTTGGATCTGAAACACTACAGAAATGTGTCTTCTAAACAAAGCATCCCTGGTTACTTCAGAGCGTTGTGTTCATTTTGCATTGACGCGAGTTCACTGTGTGACTGCGACGCCCTCTGAGCGCGAGAGAAACAAGACTCATTTAAACTCGAGTCAAATGAGTGACATTCAGAGGGCGTGGTTTACGCCGCCTGACACACCCAACTTCACAACAAACCTTCTGTTGTTTAATCACAGCTGATTTGACAGAGTCTGATATGATCATGGACTTGCTTTTGTTATATGATGGGCTTAAGTTGATGTATTTATTGATTTTATAAAAAATGAACACGTTTTGGTCTCTAAACCTTTAATGACGCAATTATTATTTTCTTGAAGTAATGAAGATATTTTTTTATTTTTTATTTATTTAGTCATTTATTAGATGCTTTTATCCAAAGCGACCAAACACACATGCTAAAAAACAACAGCTTACTTACACATAGTAAGAAATGGTTATAAAAACTGAAACAGAAGCGAAACAAGTAATAGTATATATTAAAAGATATGAATATTTTTCAGTCTTACACGAATTCTTAGAGTTGGCAAATTCCGTTCCACAAACATCTTTGAAACTGAATTACAAAGCTGATATTTTCTCCAGGAAATGCACACTGCTTTTTAGGAATCTGAAGCCTTTGAGGCTTGCTTTGCTTTTCTTTTTAAGTCAAGGGAAAAGAGAGGAAAAGGCACAATTGTATTTTAGAGAGGGAGAGAGAGAGAGATTAAATAATGTAATTTCCTAAAAACAACAGCCTACTTTTATACTAAAAGACACTTTTATTTAAAAAAAAAAAAAAACATTTTGATTGAATAATATTTATATGCATTGATATATAGCTATATATATTATATAAAAATACAAAATACTGCAGCAAAAAAAAAAAAAAAAAAAAAAACGATAAAGGGTTTACCTTCAGGCGTTTATCGCCCTCGTGCGGTCAAAATGACTAAATGCTGCTCTAGCCAGGAATATGATCACACATATGATACTTTACATGACAACAGTAAAATATAACAGTATATATTTATTCAATTGAATTTGTATTCTTATTTTACCAACTTATGTTGTTAATTTGATGAAGTAAACTAAAACTGCTTTGCTTCGTAGTCAGTCAAATTAAAATTCAGTGTAACCTTTAGTTGCATCTCTAATTGAGTGACCTGCTCTTTTTGTCACGTAGCGGTCAATGAACAGTGGAAACAGTTGCAAGGGTATTTTACAACCTCCACTGATCATGGCATGAACAATCAGCGTGAAATCAAGGAGGGATTCACTTGAGACTCTGTGTCTGAGCCCTCGGCGTTTGGCAACCGCGCAGCATATAACGGTGCTCGGCAGCACGAGCGCATGTGAGGGAGGGGCGCTCAAGCAGTGACGAATCTCCGCAGTCAGCTGCTGTGAGTGCGAAGCATCGCTCTGCCAGAGACAGCAAGAGGAGAGGGAGAAGATATAGCACACGGGCGAACACTCAGGAGCATCATGGCACCAATTGGATTAAAGGCGGTCGTTGGCGAAAGTAAGACCATAATGTTCCTCGGCTACTGAGGTTTAATATTCAACCATATGTGCGTGCTATTTTATGGTACCTTTCCGTTGCATGTGTCATTAGTGTTCCTCAGCGTTCGGTTCCCCCTGGATGCGGCTGGTTGTTTCCCTGCCATTGTGCTGAACGGGGAGGACATTACTCTCGGGATGTTGCGGATGCGCATTGTGCATCATGACATGAATAGGTTTTTTCTCATTGCATAATGTATTAATATATAGCACGAGAACCAGACAAGCACCAAAAACCTTGATGCACCAATGTAAAGATGGTCTATCACACAGGAACGCCCTTATTCTGCACGGACGTTTGAGGAATTACGCAGGGTTCTGTCGACAGACCTCTGCGTTTTTGTTTTGTTTTGCTCGGTTTGTTATTTATAGGCGTAATGAGGATAGAATTGAGGGGATGTTTGCATAACTCTATCTTCTAGTTCTAGAGATGAGCTCAATATATGCGTTTTGGCAAAGCCTCACCCCTGTGATTGATCACCAGTGCATTATATTCCATTGCGTAAAGCTCCAGCTGGTGAACTGATCTGCCCAGGAAGTGCCCGTGCTTTTAACATGCATGCAGCTGCCTCGCATCTCCGGATGGATCGTTAAATGGCGGAGTGGTTCATGTTTGGTTGAATAAGGGAAAATGAGAGCACCAAATGCGCATCCCTCAGAGGTGTAGTAGCTGTATCTGTCATGTGTGGTGCATACTAGCTGAGAGAGCGTTCAGGAACAGAATGGCGTTTAGTACAGACAGATTGATGGCTGTTGTAGGTGCTTTCGTTTTAGAGAAATATTTTGCTTATGCTAATGCAGCAGGATATGGAGATAATTGTTTTAAAAGCTTCTGAAAGTCAATTAAATATATTATTACAACTGTAACTCTCTCTTTTTGCCACTGCATTTTCAATCAGAAATTGCTAATACATTTCACAAATGATTAAGAAACGGCAAATAAACAGTAGGCTATTTTCTGGTAAAACCTAGGCTACTCAATCACTTCAATCGTTACATTCACAAATTTGAAATACATAAAGTATAATGAAAATATGAACTCTGCCGTGTTCAAACGCCTGTTTACTTATTCATTTATTTGAAAGAAGCATTTAATGTATTTTATTTGTAGCCTAATACATTTAAATAAATTTGCTACTTTTATATTTAACACAAATACCTTCTTCATATACCTATAGGAGTAATTTTTAATCCCATTCAAAAATCCAGTTATATAAATACATAAAATGCAATTCATAAAAAAAATGTATGGTTGGGGGAAAATAATGCTGGTTAAAGTAGTTTGGCATATTTTATTTTACAATTATTATAAAATTACATATAATACTGTTTTTTAATAATCAATGATGAGGGAAGCAATTTTGTTTTAAAATATCATTAATACTTGCAAAACTTATTTGTCCTCCAAATCAAAGTCAGTTTGGATTCAGGAAGCCGTTTTTTAGTCATGTGACAAACCCCCCACAAAACCATCTTGGTTAGTAAGTACATTTTATTAATCATAAATTTTGACCTTTTATGAAAAGAAACATTTTGTCCAGGTCAAATGGGGTAAAATATTTTACCTGGGACAATCATGATTTTTTTAAATTAAATAAAATACTGTTGAAAATGATTAAGGACATTTTTAAACAAAAATATTGTAAATATTTCTAAAAACATTTTGGACATCCTTATTTGTCACTGACTCATTATTATGCCCACATCATTCACCACTAACGCATTAAACATTTTGAGTTTGTTTTGTTTGTAATATATCGATTAATGTTGCTGAAACACCTTATGCTAACCTCAAACTGAAAGCACAGAAAATATGACATAATAGTGAAAATGCTGTTGCATTGTTCAGTCCAAATGAAAGGCTCATGCACATAATCAATATTGACTGAAACCTGATCATTAAAAGCCATAAACGCTCTGAACACCTGCGCTGGATTCTGTCTTCCTCACACACATGATGATGGATTGGTTTTCCTGCGGTTTGATGTGCCGTGGGTGTGTGTGTGTGTTGGTTTCACTGTCTTCTCCAGGGACATGAGATCCAGTACACATAATAAAGATCAGACACAGGGTCAGATAGAGAGCAAAGCAATGAGCGGAAGACTGCCCAAATCCTTGCTTAGATTGTCATTGTCTGTTTTGATTTGTTTCGAACACCTGCGCTGGATTCTGTCTTCCTCACACACATGATGATGGATTGGTTTTCCTGCGGTTTGATGTGCCGTGGGTGTGTGTGTGTTGGTTTCACTGTCTTCTCCAGGGACATGAGATCCAGTACACATAATAAAGATCAGACACAGGGTCAGATAGAGAGCAAAGCAATGAGCGGAAGACTGCCCAAATCCTTGCTTAGATTGTCATTGTCTGTTTTGATTTGTTTTTACCTTTAAAATATGCAATATTGACAGGGAGCTGTACATATGCGCCGTAGGATGTAATGTAAGGGGATAGCAGGAGTACACTTGGACAGCATCTGTGTGAATGACTCACAGTATTTGTCTAAAGGGTCTTTCATCGGCATTAGTCTAGCTCTGAATGAACCAGTTCTTTTGTTAGCCTGCCTATTTGTTGATCCATTTTCATGAATTGAGCTTATACTATGCCCTACTTACCAGATTTAACCAAATTATACATTCAGGAAAACATATGATTTCTTATATATATATATATATATATATATATAGATATATATATATATAGATTAGGGCTAAATAAAAAATCGATATCTCCATTTTAATCGATTCTCATTTTTACGGAACGATATCGATTCTTAAGTCCCAAGAATCGATTATTCGAGCCTGTTTTCAGTTAATGGACGGAACATTGAAGGGACCTCCCATCCAATATATCGCAATATGCATTGTGCTTTGGTACTTTTAATATGAAACAAAGTCTCAGATTTCAAATTATATCCATTGTATTGCGGTATTTAAACAATAAATGCCGTTTTGGTGCTGTTTAATGTTGAGTGACAGATCGCTGTAGTGCCTCAGTTCAACAGACGCAGCACCAGCGCCAGGCGCACGTGAACTGATCAGCTCCTCCACATTAATACCAGTTTCAGCACAAAATAAACATGACTAAACATCCGAAGGTAAGTTAAAAGAAAGAGTACAACTTTACAATCCTTATCCTGTCTCTTGTAATCTCTCAATTAGTGTTTCAGCCGTGCAAAGACGTCAATATAACGTCTTGTAAACAATGTCACGTAACGTCACATTTATCTCAGAAAAACATATTCGATGACCATAAACTCATTAGTAAGCTAGAAAAATAAACTGTAGAGAGGGGCATTTTACTAAATATATGCACTATATAACATAGTCATTATAATTTTTACTGTTCTTCAATGTTTCATTTATGTTTGAATAAATCCACCAAGTTTTTGACAGCCACCATTTAAATGTTTATATTTCAAAAAACGAATTGAAGTAGAAGTATCATTATGTAGCTAATTGTAACTTTATTTTAAAAACTTCATTAAGTGTAATTTTAGCAGTTGTATATTAGCCTACAAATCAGTCAGTTTT